AAATGAATGAAGACCTTTAAACTCTTTTTGATTTTTTTCTCTGATTATTCCTAGTTCATTTTCAGTTACAACCTTTTTGTTTCTATTTAAACAACCTTTTGATACAACAACTGTATTTAGATCAACACCACCAATCTTAAGTTAGAAAAATTGAGGCTAGAAGTGAAGTTTCCATTCAAACACTTACCTTGTACCAAATCAAGAAAGAAACCTACTTTTCAAGAACATCATTCATTAAAATCTCCATGTAAACTTTATTTTTACTAATCTTCAATTTTTTTTTTGCTTAAAATCACTATTAGTGGCACTTGTACCACTTGAAGGTTGTTCTCAAAATCTTTTATCGTTTCTTTGTCCTTTAAAACTTTTTTCTTTAACACTTCTTGCTTTTCGTTGTAATGTTATTCCTCCCTACGCATACTTTCTATCATATTTAACATTCGTTTTTCCCCATCTATGGTTCTTTCATGATAAGATTTGTCTTTCCCAGTGTCAAATTTTAATATTTCGCCTTTGAATGTTTTCTTCAAGAACTCAATATCTTCTATCTTCTTCAAGAACTCAATACTTGCTTGTCTTTATTTTTGTCATCTCTTATAAGTTTTAAGATGTCTGCTTTATAAACCGGAAAAATTTGCTTTTATGATAAAACTCTCTGTTTTTGTTTTAATTTGCTCTTCTTTATTTTTGTTTATTTCCATAATGGTTCTAAGACTACACAGATTTTTCAGCGTTTATAAGATTTCTTAGGCTTCTCCTTCACTACTAGTTCAGTAACCCGAAATCCTGAATCAAACCCGCAAATTTCCGAAGGCTTAACAGTTCTCTCAGATTACATACAGTAAATATTCTCTAGTTTCTTTTTTTACGCAACCTTTTTTTTTGATACAAAGCATAGATCTTGACCTTGCCTTTTGTGCACAAGATAGTTTTGCATTTTGGTTGTTCTCACTTAACCTGAGCCAATATATTTGAAAAAAAACTTCTCTTAGTGCGGGTAGTCTAAACAAAATTATAAAGATAAGAAAAAGTCTTACATATTTGTTTCAAAACACCACTGCTATTAATATTATATGTTATACCTAGAAAAAGCTTTTCCAAATAATTGTTTTAATTAAATCTTGAAATAATACCTGTTTTGTGCAAACATATATGGTGAATGCTGAAGCAAGTAGAGTCTTTTTTTACACCAATTAGTTCTCTTTGAAGCTGAACTCTGTTACGGGATGTACCTGAGGTTTATGGTTGAAAATCCCTGAAAGTTCTATGAGAGATATTTCTCATCGGAGGAAGACTTCTGAAACGTGAAGTTACGGGAAAACTCTTCACATTTCTCTCTCTTACCTTTACTCCGACCTTTTCTAATCCTTAGAGATTTACGAGGAAACCCATCACCATCATCATCATTTATATTTTAAGAAATTTGGGTATTTCTGAAAAGTATAAAATTAAAGAGTCAGATATTATCTTAAATAAAATCAATTATTTGAATCGAGTGTTAATGCCGCTAAAAAAATAACAAAATATTGTAATGATGACATATTTGAATCTAGAATATCTAACCTTTTTTTTTTGGAAAACATAATATTTTAATTTTTGAATAAAAATCTCATTTTATATATCTTAAATATAACTTTAATAAGTAATGTTTGAATACTTCTTATAATTTCTTTTTTAAATTTTATGAAATAAATATCAATCAATTCTATAAAATATATATATATATATATATATATATATATATATATATATATATATATATATATATATATAAATATATAAATATATATATACATATATACATACATATATATATATATATATTAGGTCACCCTAATATATATATATATATATATATATATATATATATATATATATATATATATATATATATATGTATATATATATATATATATATATATATATATATATATATATATATATATATATATATATATATATATATATATTATCCATCTCACCCCATATACATTTGATTGGATTCAAATTTGGTCATAAAAATGCTAGGTCAATAAATTTACTTTGTTTTCTCTTATTCATATTTAACTATAAAAAATTTAATTTTTTTTTTTTTGATTATTGGCGACTATTTATATTTTTAAATACTATATATTCTTTATTCACTATATGTATTTTTTTTTTAATATTATATTTTCTTTTTTGATTAATTGAGCGTATTTGTACTTTTAATTAATGTATCATCTTTTTTTTTACTATTTTCATTTTTAAATATTATATCTTCCTTTTTACTATTTTTTTACTAACTTTTCTACTTCGTTATTTATCATATTTTACTATTATTTTATGATCTGCTTTATGAAAAGATTAGGTTGGTATTTTGCCATTTATATCTTCATTGAGCCCCTATCTTTTATTACTTATATATTTGCAATTATATTTTATTTTTTGTGAAAGGAATATGTGGTTTATGTAAACAGTAAAATAAAAATATAAAATTTTTTACGTAGTGCTCTTAAGAGATCGTATGGACTTCTTGGAGAACCTTATCAACCACACAAAAAAAAAACACACAAATTGAATGAGCTATGCACAGACACCATATTTTGTTGAAAACAAACATTTGAACCTGTTTAAATGTTTGTGCACCTATTATACATACATATATATATATATATATATATATATATATATATATATATATATATATATATATATATATATATATATATATATATATATATATATATATATATATATATATATATATATATATATATATATATATATATATATATATATATATATATATATATATATATATATATATATATATATATATATATATATATATATATATATATAATAATAATAATTGACAAAAAAGTTTTTTTCTTACTTATATGAGAATTTAGAAAAAAGATGCTGACCCATGCACATTTTGCTGTTGGCAAATCTTAGATACAATATGCTGTATATTCTTTATATCCAACTCCACGTGATTAAAAATTCTTAAAACTTTTCTCTTTCATATATATTTCTCCCTATATATAAAATGATGTAAACCAAGTTTTGTGGTATTTTACTTCTCGAGAAGAATTTTTTTGCATTCCTTCAGAATTTTTGAGAAATTCCAGAAATATTAAAAACATACTGCAAATATATTATTTTAATAAAAGTATTAACATGAAGCTTTAACAGTTACTAACATCTTTGTCTTCATTTTAGCATTTTTTTTATTAAATAATATCTGGGACACTTTTTTGGTTAACAGTTTAGACATTATTTTTCTTTATTTTGGTCTGAGAATTCGAAAGATGCAATCTTAAGTATTTATTGTTGGTATTAAGCATTTTACGATGGTAAATGTAAATCAAATTACCACTGTATGCTCGCAGTTAAAAATTTTAAGTAAAAAATGATTTTTATTCTACGCTCAGCGAAATAAGGTTTCAGTCATTGAGGTAGAACCAAAACAAAAAACGTGAAATACAATTTAAATACACAAGACATTCGACATAAGATAAACTACTATTCAATTTTAAGTAACATTTTAAACGTGCCTTAAAGTTATTATAAAATAACAAAAAGGGTGCTGTAATGTACTGTCCTAACAGCATCCTAACAAACTTTTTCGAATTTATATATATATATATATATATATATATATATATATATATATATATATATATATATATATATATATATATATATATATATATATAATAAAAGAATATAGCGTTTTTTGACGCTTTGCAAAAATTGCAATGATTGGAGCCTGGGAACAAAAAAAGCTTCATTATTTTGACAACATCTGCACCAAACCCCATCATATTGGTTACAAATCAGACTAAAACCCCCTCAATCTGGGGGTTTTAGTCTGATTGGGGGTTCGGATTGGGGGTTACAATCTGATTTATAATTTATTAGCGGGTATAATCTGTATGCCAGTAAATGAAAAAAAAAAACATTAAATAAAATTCGTTTAAAATTTGTCTTGCATTTTATTCATTAATGTCATAAAAACACATTTGTATTTACAATTGTACCACAGCCAAGCAGTAAACATACTAGGAAAAGTCTTTTATCTCTGCAAATGAGCTGGACGGTATTCATATTTTTTGCCCAACGTACATTTACATTGGGTTAACATCGCAGCTACATCAAAGTAATATACAATGCTGTCTTAAGTTTTCATTAGGCAACATTCAACTGATAAAATCTTTTTTGCCAAGCAAAATACATCAGCATATATTTTCACATTTTGCATTTTTGATACAATCGGTAATATCATTACGAAAATATGTTGTCATTGTAATAAAAGTGTAAAAAGATGATAAAAAAATAAATGTAAATAATAGGTGATGTTAAAAAAAAAATTTGTTATGATAGATGTGATCGGAAAGGTATTCAGACCATAATGATTATGTATATATTCATTATGGCAATAGTGTAAATAAAGACTGCAACAATGATACATAAGATTTTTTGCTCAAGGTAACTCTAATAAATATGAAGATGATCTTGATGAACATTCAGACTTAACAAATTTTACAAGTATTATATTCATAAACGTTTTGAAGATTTTTTTAATAAAGCTGTGCCACGTTTTCACTTCGGATTATTAATTATTAGAAAACTTTGCGCAATAAAAGATCATTCCTTTTATCGATTTTTTTATGAAAGCAAGAGTCTCGTTAAGTTTATTAAGTGATACAAACTACGTGGTTGCATTAATGGTTAAAGTTGTATTTTAAAATAGCAATTGAACGCTTAGTAAAGCACGTCGGTGAACTTAAAGTAAATTTTTAACCCGAAAAAACATTTTTGAGTGAGTCATTTTGTTAAAATACTTAGTTAAAATTAGAGAATCATTTTATAATTAATTTTCAAAAGGTGCGGAGGTTATTATTCAATTACTTAAACAATTAAATAAAAGATGCTAAATGTATTAGGCTAGAAGGGAATAATATTTTGGGATTAGGGTAACAATTAATAAAAAGGCATCAGAAGTAAATAAGAAATAACGACGTTTTAGAGAAGAAGTACAACAAATAAAATACAATATATTTTATATAAAAATAGTATTTAATAACATCACAAATGTCTTACGTAAATATTGGCGTCGACGTTGAGCAAGAAGAAACTCAATTTCATAATTGTTTAGAGTTACACAAAACCAACGACAGCGAAAGTTACGAAAACGAAAACGAAAACAATGATGAAGAAATAAAAACAGAAAACAATGGTAAGCCTAGAGTAGCAATTATTGGCAACGGAAACTTTGGCAAAGCTTTAGCAACTCTTTTTCAGAACGCTTCTCTGGACTACTGCATTGGAAGCAGATCACCAATAGCTGGTTCTTCAGTTGTTGTATCTGTTAAACAAGCAATTATCAATAGTGAAATTATATTTTTGTGTTTACCGGTATATGCGCACGCAAAGTTTTCTGTAGAGCACTCAAAAGTATTAGAGAAAAAAGTAGTAGTCGATGTGAGTAACCTGGAAAGCAGTTCAGATGATTGTAATGCATTAAAACTTCAAAAACTACTTCCTAAGTCCTACGTTGTTAAAGCCTTAAACACAATATCAGCGTACTCAATGGAAAATGATTTTTATGGGTGCATTCGAGATACTTATATTTGTGGTAATAACAATTTGATTAAGGATAAGCTGTGTAGCATTTTGAGAGAAATCGGCGTGAATCCTATTGATAAAGGATCGTTAAATTCAGCCATTTTAATAGAACGGTTATCTTTACAATTATTTCCTAATTGGTATTATGCATTATTTATAACACTCCTAACGTTAATACCTATTTTACTTTACGTCTATTTACGTCTTTTTTGGTTTGAAAAAGGGCATAACAAAGATGAAATGGACGGCATACCTCTCTATCAAGCAAACATAGTTATTTCGTGGCTAACATCAACCTTAATAGCAGTAATATATTTAGCTAACGCAGTAGCAGGATTTTTCCAATTATATAAACGCACAAAGTACTTCTCTTTTCCACCATGGTTAGATAAATGGATGAAATGTCGTAAACAACTTGGATTAATATCGTTGCTACTTGGTGGAGTTCATGGTTGTATTTCTTGCTTACTAATTGGTTCTGGAGATTTAAAGTATCTTTTAAATACCATATATATTCCAGTTTTTAAACACTCATTCATTAAAATATACCAAGGTATGAACTGGGTAGCACAACTTTCTATGCTTTTTGGAGTGTTTGCTTTTGCTATTATGTCGGTAATGGGAATAACGTCAATATCTTCCGTGTCCGCACAAATGAGCTGGAGAGAATGGAGGTTCATTCAAAGTCATCTTGGTTTCTTATGCTTAGTGCTAACCTTTGGCCATATTATATGCCAAGGTTACAAATTTTGGAATCCAAACTACATTTATGGTTGGCGTTTATGGAAAACAAGCGCAAATGGAGTTTATCCGTATCCAATATTTGTAATGGGAATATTTCCACTTGTAGTTATAATTCTTAAGCTTGTGTTGATGATTCCGTTTATAGCACGTTATCTTGAAAAAATTAGGAATGGAAGAATTGATGCAAGAATTAGAAAATAATTTTTATAACTGCACATGATTTTAAAAGCAAAACTCAAAACTAAGAACTAAAAGATTAAGTTTAATTTAAATATCTAAGTTTTTAACTTAGTATTTTTAAAGGATTGAATAAATACTCTGCATATACATATAAGCAGAGATCCAAAGAATTCGCAATTAAACGTTTTTTAATTTCAATTAATAAGTTTTTAAATTTTAATTAACCGTGCATTTTACTTTTTTTGAATTCCACAATTTTATATTCTTAAAAAGAAGAACTTACGTTTTTAAAATAAAATTATATTTAAATTAAATGGTGTATACAGAGCCAACGAAACCGGGGGTGGAGGACTTTTTTTTTTAAAAAAAAGGAAATTCTAGATATAGAGGAGTTTTTTTTAAATTTCACGGTTGTGCCCTATCACTTCGAAATCCGTGTCGATGGCCCTAAGTATAGGCCGGGCCCAATCAGCTTTACGTGAGTAAAAACTTCAGCAAAAATTTTTATTCGCGTAAAGCTGAGCAAATACTCAGCGTTTTTGGAGTAAATTGCTTAACTTTACCTGAATAAAAATTTGAGCGATTTTCCTCAAATTTTTATTAACGTAAAGCTGAACAATTACTTTAAAAACCCTGAGTAAAAGCAATTTGTTTGTTTTTATTCACCTGGCATTATATTTTAAGGTATAAAATTCATTTAATGTTAAGTAAAAAGCCTTCTACTGTATTTCAATTTTTGGATTAGAATCTTGGAACATTCAAAACCATTACTTCTTTTTTTTTTTAGTTATGAGCTTATTTATATATTTTATACTGATTTATGGAAATTTTCTTAAGTTATTGTTATCTTTATTTCAGAGATATTTATGTTGACCTAAATTTTTAAACACGGCAAGAAAACGGGATTTGAACTTAATAATTATAAATTTCTGTTGTATTTTTAGTAAGTGATTAGATAATATTTGCACACCACTGCTTAGTAATTCTTGCATCTTTCAGGAATAATTTCTAATTTTTTTTTTTTTATACATTAGTCCGAAAATTACGAAGAACTTTTGGAAAATTATCTTCAATTATTTTGGAAACATATAAAACTTCTAATTAATCTTTGACATTATTTAATTTTAAATACTTTTTTAAGTTTTACGTTACATGAAACAAATTTTTAAATTTTTACAACAAAACTACGTAGGGTAAAAGCGCATATGATGGCATACTTAACTTTGAAGCTTCATTATTCAGTATCCTGAAAACCAATAATAAAAGTTTTGATATGGATACATTCCTTGTTACATCTAGAACAATACTAACCCAAGGAGTTATCATCATTTTTTTTTTTTTAGTAAGTTATTCCTATAAAAAAAAAATGAAAATTACCGTAACACGGTAACTTTGGTTACTTTGGCCAGCGGGGTTACAATGGCCATTTTTAAAAACTTTATTTTAAAGATCTGTAGCCTTTAAACAGTAAAGTAACGTTTTACTATTTTAAATAGTAAAACGTTACTTTACTGTTTAAAAGTTACAGATTTTTAATTAAACTTTTTAAAAATGGCCGCTGGCCAAAGAAACCCCGTGTTACGGTAAGCTATCATAGGCAACCACTGCTCCTATGATGACATGGGAAGGATGGGGCTGGTTAGGATTAAAGATAACTTGATGATTTCATTTAATCTTTTTAACTCATGTTAAAATCTTTTAAATGAAAACAAAAATGTAGACAATACAGCATGGGTCAAGACCAAGATTAAGACTAAGACATTTGGGCTCAAGACCAAGATCAAGACCTAGACTTAAGATTCCAAGACCAATACTAGTACCAAGACATCAAAAAGTCTGTCCAAGATCAAAACTTTGGAAATTTTTACAAGACCAAGGTCAAGACTTACGTTTTTAAAAGTGTTACACAAAAATGCTCACACTATACATGTATATAAAGGTATACTATGTATACTTTTAGGTCTATTATATATGTATACTATTATTTTACTAATTTTACACATTCTATTTTTTTTATTCTGACTCACTTCTAACAAGGCTGCAAGCAACCACTATTAAATCGAAAGTTACTATAAAAAAGAATAGAGTTATAGAGCAAAGAAACAGTTGACAGAAGACTTGAAATTATTGAAGGTTGTATGAGTCAGGAAAACATGAAGATGGGAGAGAGTTCCAAAGTGTTAAAGTGCGAGAAAAAAAAACTAGACAAACAAAAGTTTTTAGGTTATGTAGGGATAAATACAGTAAAAAAATGAGACTTTGCTGAATGACGAGTCAGACGAGATTGAGCTTTAGTTGATGGAACTAGTGATAAAAACTTCTTTGAGCAGCAACCATGATAGTATTTGCAGAAAAGAGAAAGAGAGATTTAAAAGAGAACTTTACAATGATGGAAAAGAAGTTCAAACTTAAAATAAAAGCTATTATAAAACGTAATTAATGATGTAATATAATTATGTCATTGTATGTGAAGTGCACTGTTTCAGTCTACAAAAATATTTTTGATAATAACAGAAAAAAAAACTTGTATGGATAAAAATTTCCCAGAAATTTTCAACTCGGGAAATTTTCCAGAAAGTTACTTTATAACTAATTGGTAAAAATTAACGGCAGTTGATATGGACATTTTATGGCAAAATATTGCGTAGCAGATTATAAAAAATTTTAGAAAGCTCCCTTTGAAATACACTTTTTTTGGTATTTTTTTTGAGTTTTTTAATTGTAACTATTAGCAGCAACTATGATAATTTTTCTCAAAATTTTCTAAAATTGTTTTATTCTATTTTGCTACGCAAATTGTTAAGCATATTAAAATTTTTAAAAACTGTTTTATTCTGTTTTGCTAAGCATATTGACGTTTACTGCCGTAGCAAGCTTTGTTTAAGGAGAAGTGGCATTTTTCAATATCTGTTAAATTGGCTGACAAGTTACTGAAAAATGTAAAACTGAAAAAATAAAAAATAAAAAGACTTGATTAAATATTTACAGTATTTTATATTTTTTTCTTGATTTAAAGACTTTATTGATTTATGAAAGGCAAAAAGTAAAGGACCTTTTTTGCTAAATTAGAACTTTTTAAAAATATAGCTAGCACTAAATCTCACTCGCCAAAACCTTGCGGGAGCACTTTTGACTTTACTAATCTATAAAATAAAAAATTATGCTATTCTTTAAAATAGTTTAAATGCTGTCAACTGGACGATTTATGTGTGTGTGTGTGTGTGTGTGTGTGTGTGTGTGTGTGTGTGTGTGTGTGTGTGTGTGTGTGTGTATTCTATTAGTATCGTACCAAGCAAATTAAATTATTATTATTTTATTGAACATTCAGATCAAATGTGTTTTTTAATGTCATTTTTAGGTTAATTATTATAATCTAACACAGCAAGTACATTTAAAACATAAATAAGCTAACTAAAAAATCATTTTTCCTTGTTCAACAAAAGTAACATACGTAAAAGTAACACATAACAACTTGAGCGTTTTTTTTTGTCTTGTGATACTGGTATTGTGGTTTATCCTCATCCAGCCCATTGCCATATAAAGGCCACATTACCATGGCCCGCAAAGACAAGTTCGGCTCCCCAGGGAACGTCATAACCTGCTCTACAGACCAAGAGTAACGTGATTTTGAGAAGAAAGAAGATATGATAGAGAAAGGCAAAAGTAGTCAAGCTAGAAAGATAGCATAGAGAAAGCGCACATAAATGCAAAACGTACTGTTAACTAGGTTAACCTAACTAGAGTACTCCTATAAAGTTTTGATTGAAGTTCACTTATCATGAACATTTCCTAAACTTTCTTCGTCGTCCTTCCTCAACTTTCTTTGTCGTTTTATTGCTTTTTTAAAATAATGCGCGATTCTTAGATTATAAGCTTGATTATAAAAATTGGACTAAATGGTATGTATTTTTTGCTTATAGGTCTTCATTATTTTATAATTCTAGTTGAACTATTTATAGAATATTCAAAGACTTCGATGATAAAACGCATATTTTTGTAACTAAGAAATGAATTTTATAAAACTATATAAATTTACAAAACAATAAAAAAATTTTGAAAATTTTAAATTAAAATAATTAAAATTTTTCGGAAAGTTTCCCGAAATTTTTAACCCAACTTGCATTGTTAAAAACAAAATATAACAATAAAAAATGGTTCAAGACCATTACATTTTGAAACTAAGAATAGCACACATATAGCATACACGATAGGTTTTGGAGCCATAAAAAAAATTAAAAAAAAAAAATTAAAGTTTACATTATTCTATTCAAGTACTTTACGTATTTAAAGTGAAACAAAGATCTATGAGTAAAACATCTATGAAACATCTATGAGTGAAGTGAAACAAACATCACTTGATTTCACTACTTATAATTTAACAATCCAACAAAAAACAGAGTACACAACTTTCTAGGCACAAACTCTTATTAGAGCGGATTGTTGCGGTGATCAACGATTTATTAATAACTACTAATCCATCCGTTGTGTTGATATTTTTTCAAAAGTCAAGAAAGTTCAAGACAGGTCCAAGACCAAAAACAAGACTCGATGCTCCAAGACCAATATTTCAGGTTTTTATAACCAAGACCAAAACCAAGTTCCAAGATCAAGACCGAGACCAAGCAGTTGAATATGAGAATTAAAACGTCTTAAGAACTAAATATACCGTATTATGAAATTCAAAATCTCTTATCCTTTTCTCTTTAAAATATTATTCATAAAAACTAAAAATGCAAAAGTTGTTCAATTTTACATGCCGTTCCATTATACCTGCTTTTACTTAAATAGACAACAAACGTCGACATTCTTTTTTGAAAAGATAAGGCGAAACATATTGTCTAAACTGCTTTTTTATTCGTTTACAGCGGATTCTATGGCAAAATTAGATACGGGTATTTGGTAAGCTCAAAATCTATTATACTATTAAATTATTTACCAAAAGTACTACCTAATGAAAAAACAACCTTTTTAAAACGTATCTATAACGAAGCTAATTTATTATCGTTTCATGAACAACTGTCATTGCTTCATTGGAAAGATATAAACACTTCATCTGACGTAAACTTTGCTTACAACCAATTTTTTAAATCTTTCTATGAGGTATATGATGTAAATTTTCCGAAACGCGAAATAAACTTAAAAACCAAAAGTGTAAAATCACCATGGATTACAAACACCCTAAGAAAATCATCAAAAGTCAAACAAAAGTTATACATTAAGTACCTTAAAGAAAAAACGATAGAAAGTAAAACCATCTACAAAAAATATGCGAGAGAATTTTAAAAAATTAGAAAGAATCTTAAAAAAAAATACTATTCCGATTTACTTATGCGATACGAATGTGATTCAAAACGCACATGGCAAATTTTAAGAGAAATTACAGGTAAAACAAAAATTAAATCATGCGCTCTGAAAAATGGCATTAAAATTAATGGTGATATATCTTATGATCCACGTGAAATAGCAATCGAACTAAACAAATTTTTTGTCACGATCGGACCTAATTTAGCAAGAAATATAACAAATATAAAGAAAACAAGTGATATCTCATCTATTGCATTAGCTAATCTTGATTTTTTGGAATTATCGTTTGAAGAATTTAAAACAGCTTTTAGTGCGCTAAAACCAAATAAAGCAAGTGGCTTCGATGATATAAATGGCAATGTAATAAAAAATTCATACAAGGTTATAAAAGACGTGCTTTTTAAAATTTTTTCACTTTCAATCAGACAAGGAATTTTTCCTGATCAATTTAAAATTGCAAAAATCACACCGATATTTAAAGGAGGAGACTTAACAAATATCAATAACTATCGCCCTATCTCTGTTCTTCCAGTCTTTTCTAAAGTCCTAGAAAGAATTATTTATAACAAAATTTACACTCATTTAACTAACAACAATTTATTATTTAACCACCAGTATGGATTCAAAAAAAACAACTCTACAGAGCACGCGATTCTCCAGCTAACACGTAGTATCACAGAATCTTTCGAGAAATCCGAATATACTTTAGGCATCTTCATCGACCTATCGAAAGCCTTTGATACAATAGATCATAAAATTCTTTTTAAAAAACTTAAAAATTACGGAATAACTGGAAATGTTTTAAAGTGGATAAAAAGTTATTTAAGTAATTGCAAACAATTTGTAACCATTGACGCTTCTTCTCCAATAAGTTTGTTAGAAATTACTTGTGGTGTTCCTCAAGGATCTATTCTCGGACCACTTCTTTTTCTTATATATATCAACGATCTCTATAAAGTATCCAGATTAAAAACAATCATGTTTGCAGACGATACAAACTTATTCTTATCTCATACTAACATCACTTTTCAACTTATGAATGTAGAATTAAACAAGATTTCTTACTGGTTTAAATTAAATAAATTATCGCTTAATATTCAAAAAACAAACTGGACTCTCTTTCACCCTCTCTCTAAGAAAAAACTACTGCCTTATGAAATGCCATCCCTTTTAATTGATAACATCAAAATAATTAGAGTAAACGTTACAAAATTCTTAGGTGTTTATATTGATGATAATCTTTCATGGAAATATCATATTGAAAATTTATATAACGAAACTTCAAAAAGTTTAGGAATTTTATATAAAGCAAGAAACTTTTTAAATAAAAAAATTTTAACTCAATTATATTTCTCTTTTATTCATAACCATATAAATTATGCAAACATTGCATGGGCTTGCACCAAAAAAAGCAAACTTGAACCTCTTTATCGTCATTAGAAGCATGCAGCACGTTTGATACATTTTAGTGAACGTCTTACTCATGCAAAGCCTCTATTAAAAAAAATGAACGCCTTAAATGTATATCAACTGAATGTTTATAATACTCTTTCTTTTATGTTCAAATGTAAAACTAATTCTTCACCAGTTTCTTTCCATGATTTGTATATGTCAAAAGATAAAAATAAATACTTTTTACGCAATAACAATTTTATTAAGCAGCCATTTTTTCAAACTAACTTGAGCAAATTCTGCATTACTTCTCGCGGACCATTCTTAAAGAACAAAATTGTCTTTAAAAACTTTTCTCAAGATTTTATCCAACAATGTAACTACAACTCTTTTAAACGAAAGTTAAAAGAATTAATTTTTACAATTGACGATCTATCAATTTACTTTTAATAATTTTTAATAGTTTTCCCATTTTACCTCCACTTATCAAAGAACTATTATTATTTTATAATTTATATATTTACCAAGTATATGTATCAATATATACGACAATTTATATGTTTATTAACTTATATAGTATTTATATAACTGATCTTTATATTTATAACGGGTTTTCTGAATATTTTTAATTTGTTTGTATCACGTTCATTTTAGAGGTTCTCTACGACAAGACTTTACGGTCTTCTACGAGTCTTCCCGTTCTTTTATTTCTTATTTACGATTTTTCTTTTTTGTTATTTTTTTGTAACTTCTATATTTTATTTTTTAATTTGTATATTTATAACGGAATGTTGTTTAAAATGTAATAAAGAACAAAAATAAAATATATATATATATATATATATATATATATATATATATATATATATATATATATATATATATATATATATATATATATATATATATATATATATGATATAATTGTAATATATATTTGTATGATCAAAATCAATTATACTATTAAAATATATTTGTACGATGACCGTAAATGAGATGTTAATGATGTTGCAAGCAAGAAAATTATTGACCCAAAAAATACGGTTAAAATATTCAATAATAATAAATACGGTTCACCTATTCAAAGATACTGAAAATTCCGCTGGATATCCGGTTAATTATCGTTTTATAATAAACTTTATTGCCAAGCAAAAAGATAGCCACGTTGGATTCGGCAGATAACTTTCAAAACATTTACGAACGCCATTTACGGTTGGACTTATGATTTAAGATACTACTAAAGTTTTATAATTACTGTTAAAGACTTAAATAAGAATGTCGGTAAGTAAGAAATAAATTGTATATTTACGTATTATATAATATATACGTAATCTATATATTATCTTATGACATTCCTGTTTGTATTGGGGTTTTACAGCCACCTAATTATATCCGTATTTAGTTTAAGAGTAAAGTAAATTAATTTTACTCCAGTAAGGTTTTTTTATTTTTATTTGAAACTTACAAGCTATATACGCCAACAAGCTAACCTTCAAAATAACAACAAATTATATCAAAACAAAAAATTATATAGTTCTTATACACCTACCATCTAGTAGTTTTTTAAAACCATACTCAATCAATTAGTACGGAACACTAAATTAAATTTTGTTTTATTTTATATTTTAACAACAACTAGCTGCAAAAAAAGTTATTTGTTTTTTTATTAATTAATAAGTGTTTGCAATGTTGGATATGTGTTATATTTAAAGATATATTTATAGTTTGTAATAAATTTTTAACCATATATTTGTAACCATATATGGTAAAGTGTTATAACTTAATAATTTTATTTCAAAATTAACTCAATACGAATTTAAATTTATTGTAAACATACATTATATTTTTCTTGAACTAATGAACAAACACTTAGAAATAAATAAAGATTTTACAATTGATTATGCATAATCAATTGTAAAATTGTAAAAGTTAATTTTACATCAATAATAAAAATGGGGTTGTAGTAACAGTTTAATTCCTGTTATATGTAGGTATTTAATGAAAACAATCAAATTTGTGAAGCTAAATTCTTATTTTTTTACTCGATTCTACTACCAAAATTGCTAGATATTTTAGTATATATTCCAACTCAGTATATGTTTTTTTAAGCCATTGACAATTTTGTTAAAATTAATAAAACAAATGAAATCTCAATGCACATATTTTTTTTTCAAAAATTGTTTTCAAATTTTCCAAATTTGAAAACAATTTTTGAGCAAACTTTAGCTTACGTAAAATGGAGGTTTATCAGGCTGTCAAGTTGTCATTTTTTTTTCCTGGGTCTTTTTAATAATTTTTTTTTTTCGTATTTTTGTGAGTTTTAGTATTTTTTTCATTTTTTTTTTATTTTTGAATTTTTTCAATTGAATTTTTTTTAAGTATTTTGATAGAGTTATGGCATATTTTACTTTAAACTTATTTTTTGTAATTTGAGTAATAACTCATATTACGATAATTTAAATAAATTTTGCAATAAATATTCTCATAAAATCTTTTTTTTCTTAAAGTTTTATTTCAATATTGTAATATTTTGAATTGTTATATTATTTTTATTACTTTTATTGGTTGATAAACTGAATTAAGAACTAAATTTTGAATAAAATTTTCAGTGTTTTTAAAGTTGCTTGTATCTGTTTTTAATTTTTAGTATAGTAATCAATAGATAGGTTGAAGTTGTAATGGTGCAATAAAATGATGTCTGAAAAAACTCGACAAAAAGCAATTAAAAAATAAACTATGGGCTAAAAAAAAACTCTGAATATGCAGTCCACTAAACTGTATTAAAAATCACTTAAATTATGATTTAGTGATTTTTAATACAGGTTAGTTGGTTTTCAAGCACTTTATTAGCATTCTACATACATAGATGAGTATTTGACTTTATGAAAATCCCGGAAATTTTTTTTCTTTGATAATCCTGGAAAATGCCGGAAAATTGTTTTATTAAAAATTGATCGCATTTAACTGACGAACGGAATTTAGATTATTTTAAAACGGAATTTATATTAATTAATTTTTTACAAAAAAGAATTTCTAATAATCGAAAAAGTTTGAATGAATTAAAAAGCAAAAAAAATGAAGAAAAAAAATTGTTATGAAAATCGATCTTGTGAAAATTTTAATTATAGAAAACATATTTGTTTAAATGCAAAAGTTGTTGTATGTAAAATTTTATGTAAAAATATATTAATTTTTTTTCTAAAAATTTAATATATTTTTACATAAAAAAAATTAAAGGTGTTTTATGTGAATTTCCGAAATTCCGGGAATTTCCAGAAAAAACTCATCTATGACGAAATCTAAACATAAATTAGTTTCTAATATTAGATTATTAAAAACAACTTGTCATTTATATAGATTCAAATAAAAACTATTTATATAGATTCAAATAAAAACTCTATTTGTTGAGAGAAAGTACTACAATCAAGTATTCTATAAGTGATAAAATTTATAGAATACTCTAATAATTAATTTATAGAATCTAAATCTAAATTTTTAGCTACTTAAAACAGCTATGTGGCTGTTTAAAGTAGCTGAAAATAATCTTGCTATAATTCATTGGAATAATACATGATTATTTCAAAGAATATTAAGTCAAGATTTTAGTATGAGTAGACAAAAACTTCATATTTATTTCAAGATGGCTTTGGACCTTTGTCAGAGAAATGCCTGTGTTCATGTGTATCAATAAGTTAAGGTACTTTTACTTTAATGTTTGACAATTACAGTACAGAAAAAAAAGTAAATGGATTTTCTATGTCTTTTTTGGGCAGAAGAAGAGAACAAAGTTGTTACAAAATATTTACAATTGCTATTCTTTGGCAGATCAAAGAATGATTGGAAGATACAAAGAAATATTGTTTGGATATTCCAAAATAAAAGGAATATAAAAAGCAGGGATGTGGAGTCCCAAAAGGACTCTGACTTTATAACTGTGGTCTCTGGTGTCCAGAAGCTCTAAACAAGTTGGTTGATTAATGATCAGCTATAAAAAAAAAATTTATGATAATTTATGACTTGGAACTTATTGTTTTTAAGCCTGGAGTCATAGAGTCCTTGCCGCCATTATACCTAAGGACTCCAGGTTCAAAAGTTGATTGTTCTTCTGACCTATAAGTCTAAATTTTTTCCCCATTAGTAGTCCATAAGTTTTTTTATATTTTTAAAGCTCATGAATACCAAAAACTAGAAAGAAGTAATCTTTTGTGACTTTCAAATCCGGAGACCTTTTTAGGACTCCGCATCCCTGATAGAAAGACTCTGGCTAACAACAAGCATTATGTTAGAATTTAGAGAATTCTTAAGGAAAATAAAAATGTAGTTTAATAAGTTTAGTTTTTTTTTTAATTTCTTTTATTAGATACATAGTGTCAATCAAATTTTTTATTGGTATAGCTCCATTGTTTGAAAAATACTTGACGATATTCCAAGATGAAGGATCACTTATTCATATTTTATTTTATAAATTAAAGGATGTTTTAATATCATTGATGATGGGCTTTTTTAAACCTTCTGCTGTTAATGGTAAACTTTCCAAAGATCTTGAATATGCCTTGATTTAAATAAAATGGATTTTGGTGAGGAAGCTAATAACCAAGTGCTTTTCTTTTTATTATTTTGTTACGCATTTTATTTAAGAGTAAATGCAAACTAATGCTTGTTGAATTAGTTATTGAATATTTTAATTTTTTCTTGATATTTTAAAAAGAATTTATTTATTTTTTCTGACTGATGTTGAGTTTCAAAAGTAAATATGTAGTTTTTAGATAAAAAAAACTTCATGTGAAAAAGAAATATCTGCATACAACAAATGAGAGATGGATATATATCTGTTGTAAGATACTTATAAAAATTACTTCTGCTTGATTTGCAGGTATTAAAAGATTTGACTTGTTTGTTTGACAAGGAATATGGAAAAACTAAGTATCTATATCTCAGTAAAGTTGTTAAGAGCTGTTTGACTGTTTAGAATTGAAATGCTAGTGCAGAGCAAAGTTTATCAAATAATAAAAATGAAATATTAATGGCTCTGAGAATATCAAAGGTATGCGAAAGAAGTTGCAATGGAGCATTTAATGTTGATTCTCCCTCTAAAGACGTTGTTCAGGCAGTGCAAAATGCTCACAGAATATTTATAAAAAAAGAAAAATTGAGGAAGAAGAAAAAAAAAAATGATATTCATAAGCAAGAACTTATTGACAAAGAAAAACAACTAGGAAATGCTTGGAAAAAGAAAATAAAAACCTATATCAAAGGGAAAAAAATCTTAAAAATGATGAGAAAAATGCAGATCTATAGTTTCAACTTTCTCAGAGAATGCTTGATGAAGCCACCAAATCTATGCAATGTGCCATCAATAAAGACATAGTATAAAAATTGACCATGAAATTGTAAACAGTGCAAAAAAATATCTTGAAAATGGTACTAAATATAGAAATAAACAAAAAAAGTTTACAGTAAATATTGGTTTAAAACTAAAAAGTGAAATGGATAATTTAGTTGTTTCAAAAAATCTAAGTAGTGTTGTAAAAAAAAGTTGTTGTGAACCTTTTTGTTTGATTATTTTGAACCTTATTTGGTGTTGCAATTTATTTGGCGTTTTCTTTATTCTGGTAATTTATTTTATACTATTTTCGACATTTTTGATGACTGATTTTTTTTGTTTTTAAAAATAGTTGTTGAACTTTTCATTTTTTCAATGAATTTTATCATGTTTTGCCATTTTTCCTGTCATAATATTGTCATTTTTTTTTCATTTTTTTATAAAGTTGCTTAACAGCCTGAGTTTATGCATCCCTATTTCATATATAAAAAACTTTTTGTCCTTTAAAAATTTAATATTAAAAATATTAGCTACAATTTCTACTACTATATTTGCTCTACTAATATAAGAACTAATTTTACAAAATATTCATAACTGTTATAATATTTTAAAAGTCATATAGAGGACCCACAAAGTGCAGGGCTCGAATTAAGCGATCGTGAATTGCAATATCCGGAAATATTTGTGGTCATTAAATTCTTAGTTTTTTTAAAAACCGTAAACACTGTTTTAATGAAATGGTCAGTTTATCATATTGCAAAAATTAATGAAAAAGAAAAACAATAAATTTACTACTGCAAAAATAATAACAGTCAAAATTTACATATTATTAGTTATTGTTTTTTTAAACAATAATTATTAATATGTAATTTAAGGATTATAAATTAAAAAAAGTTGCAAGATGAAAATTATTATTACTTAAGGTCTGAAAAACTTTTGCGGTAATTGAAAAATCAACCAATGAAAAACTATGCTTAAGCTATTTGCGCATTGTATAAAACTTTGTATAAAAAATCAACAAATGAAAAACTACGTTTTTTTTTGTTTTAAAGTAACTATTAAAAAGTTTAAATTAGTTTTTATATATTAACTTCTCCGTCATTTAATTTTATATTCTTATCAGCTTAAGTGTTACAAGCGTTAAATTTATAAGAAAATATTGAATGAGATTTAAATAAGATATAAAAGTATTTTATATCTTATTTAACAATTTCTTTTATTTAAAATATTCAATCACTGTTAAAGTCCTTTAGATTGTTGTGATTAGCGCTTGTTTTTAATATTTATATCGTACTTTATCGTGCTTTATTTTTCTATTTTTTTCTAATGTTTTATATAATAAATTAAAACATTAAAGTTTAAATTATAATCTTTAATAATAATAAAAATAATAGTGATAATATGGTTTTACATTAAGATTTTATACCATAATCGACGTAAATATTTTTTATTAAATGGTATTGATTGAGTTAAGTGATCAAAACAGTTTTATGGTTTTAAAGACTAGAAGCATTTCCAGATATCGCAATTCGCAATCACTTAATTTGAGCCCTGAAGTGTAACTTACAGGGATTATCTTTTTCCGGATATTTTCTGAATTCCTGATATTTTTTCAATTTATAGTCTTTCTGGATATCCAAAACCTTTTCCATACATACAAGTTGAGATATATATTTTTGTAATATATTTGTTTTCCAAGCATTTTTACTCATCACTTAAATAGAAATTGAGAAAAGTTTGAAAAAATAAATAAAAACAACTCAGCTAAAAGTAAAATTAAGAGGAAAATATATTCTGGATTTTTTGCTGGATACTTTACTTGAATAGTTTTCCGAATTTTCAAAATATGACCTGGATGATCTATGAGCTTATAAATATTTTGATAAGGACTTAGTATTTGGCTAATCATAAACAACAATTCATTTATCACGAGTTAGGAGATCAGAAACAATGCCATAGGAATTTGTATTTCACTTACAAGAGTAAATACTAGGGATGTACCAGAATTCCGGCCAGAATTTGTGACTTCCAGCTCATTTCAGTTCCGGTTTGAATTACAATATTTCAGGCCAGAATGCCGGAATTTATTTTTTACTTTTTTTTGTTAAGACATGACTGTGTAAATTAGATTAAAAAATCATTGTTCTATAGGGCAATGACGAACTATAGGTAAACCTTGGTAAACAATACAAAGTTTTTTAACAAACACAATGTAATTTTATTTGCAGTAATCAATTATGTAAGGATTTCTAGAAAGTTTAGAAATGTTGTGGTGCAAAAAGAGTTACTATCCAGTTTTGGGCATCAAACTATTTTTTTTTTTATCAAAAATGTTACCTGCTTATGAGAATAGTCTCATTTTAAATGTAACTTAAATTTTAAATGATTAAAAAATATAGGATGCCTAATACAGTAAATATTTCAATTTCAATTTAAATGGAAAAATAGAAAACAAAGAAATAATTTTAAATATAAATGTTATGCAGGATAAAACTTTCAATAAATAAAATTAAAAAAAACAAATAAAAACAGCATATTAGATTTAAATGAAATCAAATTAAGGAAATAAGTTATATATATATATTATAGGTTATAAATATATATTATGTAACCACCATGCTGAGTTGCAGGCTTTCACTTTCAATTTTGAAGGTAAAAAATTGCATAAATATAGTTCTTGTTCTGGTTGGAATTTTATTAACAGTTCCTACATATCCGGTTCCGGCTGGAATTCAAAGTTTCCAATTCGTTATACCCCTATTAAATACTGTACCCCCCCCCCCCATTATTGCTGGAAAAAAAGCATTATCCCCAAATAAACTCTGGGTTCTTCACTGATAAAGGACATTTTTTGCTAGAAAATTTGTTTTTTATATAGTTGCTTGGGCCTAGTCTCAAAGAGTCATATAAAAACTCCAATTTTAAAAGTCACAAAATCATTACACAATCGTTGTCTTTGGTATTCATAAGCTCAAAAAAAGGTAAGAGACAAATGTTATGCACTATTTAAAAGTGAATAATCAATAGATCCTGGTACAAGAACTATCAGTTTTGAACCCAGAATCTTTAAATAAAATGGCAACCAAGGACTCTTAGCTAAAACAATAGGTTCCAAGATTTTAGGTCTTCTGTATTTTTTTGTCAGTATAGTCCACAAGTCTGTTTTATAATTTTTTTTAATTTCGTAATTTTTGAAGCTCCTGGGCACCAGAGACCAGAAACAAATAGTGATTTAAAGTGAGAGTAATTTTTAGACATCTTTGCTGAAAAAATCTCTGGGTTGGTATTTTCAAAATTAAAATTAACAGTATATGGTTATAATGGATTGACCTAAATTCACAATATCAGATTGTTACTTACCACAATAATTTTAGCAACAAAGCTCTTTTTCAAATATTTGCATCTATATTTGGAAAAGAAATTGTTATGAGAAAATAATAATGTAAAAATTTTTAATTTTAGTATAAAAAATTGTATATACCAACTGATATATTTAAGGATATGCGTAGAGAATTGAACATACATCCATCTAATTGTATGTATACCCACTTATGGGAAAGCAAATTACTTTTATAACTTTTGTTTTATTTATAGGTCAATTTAATCACTACAATTAACACAGAGCATGAAGACATGATAGTAAGTTTTAATTTTAACTTGAGTTTTTTTTTTTTTTTTTTTTTTTTTTTTTTTTTATAACTAGAATTAATAAAATGTTCTTGGTTAACCACCCTTATTTTTGCTTTTATGAATGTGTCATACTTAAACTGTCAACCAATTCAAAAGATGTGCTCAGATCAAAGGAAATGATTAAAATAAGTTTTTAATAGACTTGAAATTTGCATAGATTTCTATGAAAAACACTTTGTATAAATGTTGAAAATTTTTATATTATTCCAGAGTCTACTAACACATATTTTACAGACTTGATGTTTTTTTTAAAAATAAAAACAATATATATGCACTTTAGTATTAATATCATTCAAGAAACTAATTTTTTTTTTTAAACATCTTCGCTTCCAACAAGGCTGCAACCGACCACTAATTAGTGTTGGAAGTTACTAGAAGAGAAAAGATGAAGATTGTAGAGCAAGATAACGATTGACTGACCACTTGAAAGATTGCAAATTATATGAATCAGGAAAGCAAGATAAAGGAAGGGAATTTCCAAAGAACTGATGTTCAAGGAAAAAAACTAGACGAGTAAGAGTTTTTAGAGCACTTAGGAACAGTAACAGAAAAAGGATGAGACTTAATTGAATGACGAGTAACACGAGAATGAATTTTAGTAGATGGCACAAGAGACGCTAGCTCTTTAGAGCAGTGCCCATTATAGTATTTGTAGAAAAGAGAAAGATAAGCAACATTACGACGATGTGACAGAGGTTGGCTGCAAGAGTAGGTCCAACTATGTTTACAATGCGTTTTTGCACCTTGTCTAAAAGAGAAAGGGCATCATTAGAAAATCCGCCCCAGGTATGGCAACGGTATTCCATACAAGGCCGGATTTGAGATTTATAGAGATAGGGAATAGAATCCAGAGTAAGAAAGTGACGAGCTCGATAAAGAGAAGCAACTTTAGCAGATGCTAAATTTGCAATAGATTTGATATAAGGTTTCCAAGAAAGATCAGAAGTAAGAGTGAATCCTAGAAGATGAAGGGTAGGAGACTCATCGAGTAATTAGGCAAAAAGAATAAATTTGGTCTTATTTTTTGTTTTTAAAAAAATATTATTACTATTTGATAAAATTTAAATTTTTAAATTTGTTTTTTCAATTATATAATTAACTTATAGCAAAAGGCTGCAATAATTAAACTTGTCAAATTCATTTCTAAATGCAAGGCGAACAAGATTGTTGCTTTAATAATAAATAACTATGGTTGATTAAATAGTTGATACTAAGAACATTATATTGATTTCTAAAAACATTTAAAGATTTATTATCAAAATCAATAAAAAATAATTTATAAGCATTATCACTCAAGTTAAAATGAATTCTATAGATATCAGATAGAAATTTGCCTTGAAGTTAATTATGATAAAAAAAAGCCATTAGTTGAAAATTAAAAACACGCAAAAGCATCTAAACTGTTTTAAGGTGGATGCTAACCAAAATTTTCAATTTCTTAAAAAATAAGTGCTAAAACATTATTTCCTTTAAACGGAATTGAAATTATGTATCAGGAATGTAAAAGAACTCTATGGTGAGCAACTTGCATACAAATTATAAAAAATTATAAACTGCTTTAGGTACTGTTACCATGGAAGCCAAATCAATAAAAAGAAAGGTTATTTCAAAAGAACTTAAATTTTAAAATATTTTTAACTAAAATAACCACAGAGAAAAGATTAATTTGAGGGAGAGATTTTTGTTTATGACAACAGTTGCTATGGTAACATAGAAAAAACTGTTTTTCATGGTTACAGGACCTATAAGTCAAGAAAAAAAAAATGCTTTGCTCAATCTATTTGACCCTTAAAATAACCTGATAAAAAATTCAACATGTTTTGAAAAAAAGAACTCAAGGTATCATTTCTCAAAGATAAAAATCTAAAATGATTAAATTCAGCTTCTAAACATTTTACATTTTTAAAAAAAGTTTCGATTTAATCTACACCAAATTTAATTAATCTAATTAAATTTGGTGTAGATTAAATTTAATTAAATTTGAATTAATCTACACCAAATTTAATTTTTTTTATAAGGTTTGGTTAAATAATAGATTTTTTATTTAATGCAAAACAATTTTTAAATAAAAATTTTGGACCACAATTTTCTATTACAATGTTGAAGTTATAGTTGCTTAGGCCATTGCCTGATATCTCGAACCTCCAAGGGACCTAGAAAATAGCTCAAGTTAGCGAATGTTCGAGTTATCGGAACATTCTATATCACAAACTTTTGTGGATGAGTAAAAACAATTCGAGTTATTAAAAGTTTTGATCTCAAAAGTAAAAATAATACATTATAAATTGAAAAATGTTCTAATGTCACTCTGTTTTAGTTTTGAAGAAGCGTCTCTATCGAATATAATTGAGACTGCATTGAGCTTTTGTTGCAAATATTCACCCATAAGACTGAAGGGCATATAATCATACAACACTTTCAGTGCCTCCTGAATATCACTAACTTTTGGGCAAACTGGATCCGTTGCATTATCTTCGTCATTATCTTCCTCGTCATTAGCCTCATGTTCATTCGCTGCATTTTTAACTTCTATCATCTGTAAGTAAAGGTTCTGCGCTAATTAAGTTTTTATCTGCAAAAATAACATCTTCAGCTGTTGTACCTGGAGGGTAAAAATTATCAAGTTTTTCTATTTGATTTTGAACCCTTTAAAGGGTTCGTCGTCTTCATCCGAATATACAGATTTCTGCTGTACTTCGGAAATTCTTGCTTTTGCAAAACAATTAATGATGGTGGAGGTTTTCACTTTTTGCCATGCAAGATCAAGCATTTTCACTGCATCTAAAATCGAAAAAACAGGAAGATCTTTTTTTTTATCAATAGTTACGACCAGCCTTTGCAATGCCAAAGATCTGTAATAAACTTTTAAAGAGCATATAACTCCCTGATCCATTGGTTGAAGTTTAGATGTGGTGTTTGGTGGTAAAAAAATGAGCTCAATAGATTTTAGATTATCAACCGTCGGGTGTGCTGGGCAGTTATCTATTATGAACGCTACTTTTTTCTTTTCTTTTGTAAACTTTGTATCCATTTCTCGTATCTACTCTTCAAACAGTACGCTATCCATCCAGCTTTTATTTTGATTTCTGTATCTGCAAGGTAAGTGCTTAATTCCTTTGAAGCAGCGAGGTGATTTTGATTCACCTATTACAAGCATAGGATTTTTATCACCCGTTGCACTCGCTGCGACCATACCTGTAAGACGAATTTTACTGTGCTGTCCTATACACGTCTCAGATTTTACTGTGCTTTCCCTATACATGTCTCAGATTGAAGATTTAGTGACTTATTAGGTTGCATACGAAAAAACAATCCAAATTCATCTGCATTATAAATTTCATAAAGTTTATACCTGGATAAAATTGTAGGGAGACTTGTTTCCTTCCATGGCGTGGTCATTTCAGCTGTACAAGAGTTACTCTCTCTACATACTGTCTTGAAAGAAACATACCTGTTTTTCAAACGATCAAGCCAACCATCAGACGCTTGAAATCCATTTGTATTAATTTTTTCACCAAGTTCTCTGGCTTTTGTTTTAAGAATTGTTGCTGATACTGCCACGTTTCTACTCCTTTGATTTAATAGCTATTTAAAAACAAGATTATCTAAATTTGAAAATGTTCCTTGTTTAATTCTCATACGTTTTGACTTGTTCCCTAGCGTCTTCCTACAATTTTTCTTTATTTTTGATCCATGTTGACAGCATATTTTTTGGAATGCCATATTTCATAGCAACCTAAGACTTTGACAATCCTTTTCCAATTTCCCTTAAAGCAGCATACTTTTCTTTTATTGATTTTGTATTCATTTTTCTCTTTACAGCGACAGTAGCCATAATAAAATGTAAGCACAACAAATTTTATTTTAATATTGCAACGCTCATTAATATAACTTAAATTATAAATTTAATCAAATTATTATTATCGTTAACATTGCAATGCAAGGGCTTCATTGCAGGTTTTTTTTCATATTTTTGCTCTAAAGTTCGAGTTATCGGAAAAATATTAGCCATGGGAACAAATAAAATGGTTCGATTAAGCGAATGTTCAAGTTAACGGGTGTTCGAGTTATCAAGCTGTTTTTATGTGAAAGTATTAGTGAGGGTTTAAGGGGAATTCAAAAGTTGGTCGAGTTACTGGAAGTTTAAGTTATCCAAGGTTCAAGATATCGGGATTTCACTGTAATTTCACTAGGGGCAAATTTATTGAAAAAAAAAAAATTAAAAAATATATGAAAGTATATATTTTTTTAAAGTACAGAAATTTCTCTTTAAAAATACATGTAAAATAAAAATTTGATACATTTCAAAAATTTTAGTTAACATCCACCTTAGAAGAGCATCCAAAAGCATGTTAGAGAAAAGTGTTGTGCATAGGCAAGCAAATTTTGTAAATGTTGGCTTTACATTTAACATAGTTAATTGAAACGTTAGAAAAACAAGAAAATGTTAAAATGAAAGGTTGTCTTCAAAAATTTAGCTGACAATTTATAACCTGCAGGTTCTATTCTTTTTACTGATGACAATGTTGCTGATACATACACAAAAAGAATTAGAAAATTTAATAAAAATCTTAACCAATTTAGATTTTTTTTAAATATAGTATTATATTTAAATATATAAGTTTTATATTATATAATTTTCATTACTGTTTTCGATAACTTATCTTTTAATTACTCATATATATTTTGAATTTCTCTTTTGATAAAATACTTATCTGTTTTTTGACTAAATAATTATTTTGCATTTCAGTTTTCTACCCAATCTCTCAATTTCATCTGTAATTTTTGAACCTTTATAGCATGATGCCCAAATGGATTATTATAGCAGAAAGTTAGCGACATGCTCATCTGATCGCACAGTCAAAGTTTATGAAGTAGTTGGTGAAACTTACAAACTGATAGCTGATTTGCGAGGGTATGAAATCTAATTTGTTATTATTTATTGCTGCTATCTTTATTTATCTTGCAATTCTTATAGTTGTTATTTAAATTTATTTATTAATATTGATATGATTATTTTTAAATAGTTTGTTTATGTTAAATACAAGGCTTGACAACCAGTCTTGTAATTGTGCAACCAACTGGAGGCTGATTAAAAGCACTATTTTTTCTGTGGAAAAAAAAACACAAAAAAGTATATCATATTAATTTTTTTTTTCAATTAAAAAAATAAATTTTTTTCTTTATTCTAATTGCAGCTTCAATATTTTTTGTGCAAGTTCTTTCTTAGAACAGACTTTCTTAGAACTTAGAGTATCCAATTTTGTATGTTAGATAAGGTTCTACCTTAAATGTTTATTTTTGGAAGAGTATGATAAAAATAAATTTGATTAATCAAATTAAAATGTTCAGATACTGATTTTCGACAAACCATAATAGAAAAATCTAGTTTTATAAAATGTAACAGAAAAACACCCACTGACACAGAGTATCACCAGAAAGTTTTATCCCCCCCCCCCCCTATTCATTTTTTTCAAGTAACTGCCATACATTTCATGATAAATAAAAGTTCAACATAAAAAAATCATAAATAAAAAATCTCCAACATTTATTCATTTTGGTTTTGTAAATGTGTCCAGCAATATAAACAACCCCCATTTTGCTCTTTTATTTCATAGACTCTTCTAAGTCATTCAGTATGTCAAAAATCTCACTCTCTTCTTCAGTTAGCTGTAAGACATCCATCACAAGATGCTCTGTATGCATAAAATCTTATTAGTAATAAAGCATGGTGAATATAAATTTTCTCAAAAGCTTACTGAGCAGAAATAAAGTAGACGCCAGTTGAAAAATCATCAAGCATAAGAATTGATGATCTTGACTAGTTTCAAGTAAAAAGCTAGTTAAATCTATTAATTTTCTTAAAATGTGAGATATTACATATGCTGTTGTCAAACTTAAAGTTTTATATTCTATTTTTACAATTTTTTGCACATCTGTTATTTTTGATAATTGTTGTGGATGATTATTTTTAGCACTTCGAATGACAGCTCGCAAAGGATCTTACAATCTTACATCATTAGACATACTTCTTACATTTATAACTTTCCATGCATCAATAAAAATTTGCAGACAAGAGCAGCAGCAAATAATGTAATAAGTAGGCTTGGTCGGGAAGCGGGAGCGATCGCTCTCGAATACTGACCACGGAAATTATATTTAGTTGCGTAAAACTGGCCAGGTTTTTTAGTCGTTTTGAGAACAATATTTAAGTTATTGTACGAAACAAAAATTTTTTGTTTTATGGACATACATGGAAACATAAAAAACTTGAATGTTCTCAAAACATCTTTGTGCGAAAGAATAAAAAGAATATTTGAGAACACTAAATACCCGTCAAATTAACGAACAAACTAATTTTATTGGTTCAAAAAATACGCTGATCAAGCGAAATAAAGTTCTAGAGTATTCTGTTAAAATGTTTTAGAAATTGTATTATTCACGATTTGTTACGTTTTCAGATTTTTAGCATAAATCGTTTTAAGAATATATATTAATTGTTTACAATTGTTACAGAAATAAATGTTTTAAATATATATTGATTAAATTTTTTTAAAAGTTTATTATAAATCATAGATTTTATTAGTATATTCTTATTTTTTATTTTAAAAGAGATTGTATTCTTTATGTAAATGTAATTTTGTGTATTTGTTTTTTATCGTAATGTACCTTTTAAAGCAATTTTTATGATTTAAACAAAGACTTACAAAAAATAATTGCGTTTTCAATGAAGTTATAATCGTTAAAGTTAATAAAACTAATCATGTAACAAACATATAAGAAGTTTCTGGTTACTAAACACAAACAGCGCATACATTTTCGCTTAAGTTGCCATTCTTAAAACTCGTTATACTTTTTTCTGCTTTAAATACTAATTAAAATTAAAAAGCCCACTCACTAAACATCATCAGCAATGTTGTGAAGCAGTTTCGCTTCCTGGTCATTAAGTATTTTTAACCTTTTTAGTTGATTTCTATCTTGGTAATTTAATTCCTATAGTAATTCAATGATTTAATTATTTCATTTGTTTATCTTACTAAGAAGAATCGCTTCAAATATGTTAAACTTTATTAACTTTTTTATTTATAAAATAAATTAAGCTTAAGTAAAACTAAAACTTGCAAACTTAGTTAAATAAAGAATATTTGTTTCCCTTTTAAACAATCGTAAGTTGTTACTTTATATAAAAAACATCGTTTAATTTTATAAAAAAATTATAAAAGAGCGATGTTTCGAAAATATTTGTTCTAAATGTTTATTTAGCTTTAAGTTTTTTCGCATTTAAAGATATTTTATTTGCCTTTTTTTTTTGTTATTGTCTTTCATCGGTCTAATTAATCTTCGTCGCTTTTTTTTTTTTGCTTTTTAAAATGTTCTCAAAACGACTAAAAAATCTGGCTAGCTTTTCGCAACTAAATATTATTTACGTGGTCAGCAATCGAGAGCGATTGCTCCCGCTTCCCGACCAAGCCTGGTAATAAGTGAGTTTATTTCTAACAATCTCAGTTTCTCAAGATAAAATATAATACAAATTGAAATTAAATCTCTTTAGTCTTTTCAGTAAATCAATTGTTACGTGTATTCTTCCATAAATCAACATAATCATATAATAAAAACATATTTGTTTTAGTTCTCCAAGGTTTATTAGGAATGGTATTAACATTTTCAGGCCAATGTTTAGAGCATACTGCAGTATATTTTGAATCAGGGATATTATCTCTTGGAGTTGCAGTTATCCATCACAAACATTCATCTTTATCATTTGGTAAACAATAAACCAATACGTATTTTTTATTCTTTTTGTCATAGTTAGACAAGCATGAAGTAACACAACACTTTAGATTCATAGTAAATTCAAAATATGTATTTTTTTAATATCTTTTAAAATCAGTCTCCAGTTCTTTTTAATTTCACAATTGCAAGGCCTGTTGTAAATATAGCCTTGGTTAAATACCTAATATAATATAGATTATAATTATAAGCTATATATAATTGTTTTTCCTATAATTTTTGAATAGTTTATTTATTTTTTATGTGTTTTTATTTTTCTTTTTTCTTTGTTTTGTTTAATGTGTTTGTTAGGTGTTATTCTATTGACTAGTTTCTTGGCATCTAACTTTATTAATAAAAATTAATGGTATATAGTTGTAAATTTTATACTTTTATTGTTAAATAAATATAATTAAAAAATAATTATTTTATTCAAAATTAAAGACAAAGATTTTTATAGTTTGCTATTTATTTTGGGATGCAGAGTCTTAAAGAGACTCTGCATCCCTTATTTTTCCCTAAATCATAATTTTTTTCCTAATAATGGTCTTTTTAGAGCTCCTTAGGTCTTTTTAGAGCTCCTGGATAGAAATAACCTTTTTGTGACTTTCTAATCTAGATTTTTTTCGGGAATCCGCATGTTTCTCTGTTTTTTAGTATTGTTTATTTTGAAACTTAAATATTTAAAATATGTATCATTTTATTATTTATTAATAAAAAAATCAGCTATATTTTTATTATTAAATTATGTTAAATTAAAAATAAGTAAAAGTAATTAATATTTGAAAACAAGTTAGCAAGTATATCTGCCAATAGAGGGCACATGCAAAATTTTAGGCATAAAATTTGCAGAAAAACAAACGCTGAGTTGCCAACTTTCCTTTAAAACATTCTGGTTGGCTTAAAAATTATTAAAACGAGCAAAAGTTTTGCCAATTTTATTTTAATTATTTTAATTAAAATTAATAAACATTTTGTTTCTCCATTTTTATTTTTATTGATTTTGTTTACAATTGCTATAAAAAGATCATATTTAGAACTATGGAATGTTTATTTTGCCATTTTTTATTCAAATTATTTATTTAGAATTTAAGTAAAACATTAAATTTTAAAAGACATCTTTGACTCTTTAGCTTCTTGATATTAAAAGATTTTTAGAAAAATGCAACTAAAAAATCCAAAAACAGAAAGAAAAAAAACAATTTTGCGATTTGTATATAGAGTCTATCGAGTCAATTATTACAGCTTATGGAAAAAGGTCATTGGATTACAAAACATCTCCAAGAATACAAAAATAAGTTACTAACACTTTATGCGTCTTGTTTTGACAAATCAAAAAACAAATAGTTCAAATAGACTTCAAGGAAAAGATTTTTTTTTAGATTTATTTATATGTATATATATATATATATATATATATATATATATATATATATATATATATATATATATATATATATATATATATATATATAATATATATATATATATATATATATATATATATATATATATGTATATGTATATATATATATAAGGAACGTTTAATTGCTACATTCTTTAAAAATATCATAAACAGATGTTAGGTAGAGGCTTAACATCTGTTGGTGATATTTTTTGATTTTAATGACAATTATTTTAATATTTTTAGACATGAAGGTCCAGTTTGGCAAGTTGCTTGGGGTCATCCAAGTTTCGGAAACTTACTTGCATCATGTTCGTATGACAGAAAAGTATGTCTTTTAAGAATTAATTTTAAAAGCATTTTGTGCAATTAAGAGTTAAATAATATTATCAAGTCAGAATTAATTATTATTCAGTCAGAATTAATTTTTTTGTTTTAGTGATTTTCATTATTTTCAGGTTGTAAATTATTACATTTGTTAACATGCATCTTTTTTTGCAGGGGAGTAGAGAGGAAAAAATAGTTTAATCTATTATTATATCAGCATTTTTAATAATCTATATATTTTTTTTTGTATCTTAATTATTTTAAATATATATATATATATATATATATATATATATATATATATATATATATTTATATATATATATATATATATATGCGTGCGTGTGTATTTAAAATATTCCATATATATAATATTTTTTTGATTTATATATATATAATATTTAATATATAATAGAAAAATCTCCTATATCATATACATTTGTTAGTTTTTGCATTACTTTCAGCAATTACTAATAGTTATATGTCAAACTGATTCTATGTTAAGTCACCTAAGTTAGCTTTAGCTATGGTGAAGGCAAATTGTTTAGGAAAAGAAACAAATTTATATTCATCTCCCAATTCAATAGTATGTAACGGTAAGAGTAGTTTTTAAACCTGGGATTGTAATCATCCTAGTGATGGTATCACAATAAAAATATTTATTAATTTTGTGTGTTATTTTTAGAAATCACTTGGGATTTTTTTGCAAATTTATTGTTTTTACAAACCACTTGGGTTTCATTTAAATGCTTTTGTTGTGTTTCTATTTAGTGCTAATTAATTAACATAGTCAAAATAATTGTATTTAATTTGTTGCTGAGTGAGGTTTTGTGAAGTTTAGATAATGTCTGATAGTAGTGATATAATGGATAAAAGTAAAGATAATGAAAAAGAGAAATGGTATGATTACATCAGATAAATGTAATCACACTTTTTTATATTTTTATTAGTCATTATTCTAGAAAAATAATTATTTCTGATTAAAGTTTGCATTTAAAATTATTGTATGATATTAAGCAGGCGTTGTTTTAAATATTAAATATATTATTTTAAATAAATAATATATTATTGAATTATTATTTTAAATAAATAATATATTATTGAATGTGGCATTAAAAAATATCTCTTCAACAGCTCTTTTAGCAGGTTTGCAAGTAGCAAATTAGGATTATTCTACCTCTTTAACTGATTTTAGACATAGATAATTGACACATTAAAATCAAATAATTTAGCATGTCTTTTTTTCCAACCAGATTGTATAAATAAATCTATGCTATAGTTGGCAATTTTAGGTCAGTATAAAGATTATTATCAATAGTTATTTTTAATAAATCAAAAAAGTTTAAAAAAAAAAACTTTTTACATTTTCTACTAGATGACACTTGATGTCACCACATTAATAACTAAAATAAAAAAGAACTTCTTACATTTTTTACAAGATGACACTTGATGTCACCACATAATAAATAAAAATAAATGCATTAAGTAGTATTTAAGCATCCTTATTAAGGATGATTTATCTTTCCGTATTTCCCCACTAAATCAATACTCCAGAACATTTTAGTTTCATTTTTTTGTAGCAAATCTCTTCTCTTAAAAATTATTTAAAAATTTAGGAACATGCGCACTTAAATAATCTGAAAAATCGCTAGATTTTATCAAACCCAACTCTTAACTATTAGTCAGAACTAGATTTGATAAAATAAAGTCTTAAGTCTAAAGAATAGAGTTTAGTAAGTATTATATTAATTTAAAATTAAAAAATTTTTTTTAGGTAATTCAAAAGTTTTTTAAGTTATTATGCTTTTTGTACCATTTAACTTAGGTCCTTATTTTTGTAACATTTAACTTAGGTCCTTGTTTTTGTACCATTTAATTTAGGTTCTTATTTGGAAAGAATCTGGAAATGATTATCAATGTATCTATGAATCACAACATCATGACTCTTCTGGTAACTGAAAGTTTATTTATGTTTTACTTATGTTTTTACTTTTTCAAGCTCTTATTTTTATATTTTGTATGTTTCTATTTTAGTAAATTCAATATGTTGGGCACCTCTAGAATATGGAATAATGCTAGCTTGTGGAGCATCTGATGGTGCAGTGTCTATTATTTCCAATATAGGTTAATAAAATTCCTTTTAATTTAATTAATTTGTTGTTTTTTTTTATCAACTTTGTTTAGTTTATATTTATTATGCTTGTTAAAACATGTTCACACACAATACACATATAGGTAGAACATAATGAAATTTAGCACTCTTTAATTCTTAATACCTTGAAAATTACTTAGAGGGATCCCAAACTCCCAACACATGTTGTGTTCATGTTAAAGATAATTTAAAAAAAAAAGGTTTGAGCCAAGTTTTTTTGATTAAAAACAAATAATGAATGTATACTGAGAAAAACTAATGTTGTTGTTTTAGCTGAAGCTCGCCTTCTCCTTTTTTTTCAATAACTTTGAGTCTTCAAATTATACATCGCAATCTACAGACTTCCGCGATTCCTTTTTTTATCGATATCCTAATAATTTTTAGATTTATATATCTTACTTATAATTCTTTTATTTTTAACTTAAAACAAATATTAAAGCTTTACTTACGAATCTCATGATTTTCATACAAGTGTTTTACATTATATAGAACATTATGTATACGGTCTCTCGTTTTTGTGCAAGAGAGCGCAGTATTATATATTCTGAATCTTATTTATTTTCATTTAAACAATGAGAACTATTTTCTAACTTCTCTAATTATTTTTACACTATGACATTTTTTGTTTTCCCGTCAAAAAAAAGTATTTATTAACAATTAATTTCATAGACTGACAGTATTAATTATTGATATTTGATGAATTGTAAACTTTTTTTATTATAAAATTTTTTTGATTACGCTGATTTAATTTAAACTGCTAAATTTGCTGAATTGGATACGAATAAAAAGGAAATATCATTTTATTTTACATTTGATTTTTGGTAATGAAACTTTTAAAATGTTGGTTACTCCATACCAATTAGAACCTGTTAAGGTTATGTAAAAAAAGTACAAGAATACACTAAACAATACAGTTGACAGAGTATCAAATATGAAAATTCGTGGGAGATCTTGGTTTTGCATTAAAAGTACAATTAATAGCAACACAAGTTGGCATTATAAATTTTGATTATAAGTTTACTGTTCAATATTTTATAACCATCAAATAAAAAACACGAAGTTTGTATATTTTTGACCATTTTATACAACTAATATTTAACAAAAATACGGAAAAGTTTTCATTAAATAACACAATAATTAACACATTAATTAATGGCAATAATTCAAGATAGATGGTAATTTAAATTGTCAAAATGTCATAACGCGCAAAAAAACATATTATATTTGGTATTTCCCAATTTGTGTCGTATTTGGTATTTGTCTCTTAACATAAAAAATTAAAAAAATTTTAAAAACACAATTAACAAATACAAATTTTCAAGCAATTTTCTCTTCCGATTCTCATTTATTCAAAGAAAAGTTACTATTAAACTATTTCTCTCGTCTAAAAGAAGAACGAGTGACGCAAAAAATATATATATTCTATACAACTCTTACTCATTCGAAGTTTAATTAAGCAAAACTTTTCTTTCTTTTTTGTTCTACTCTTTTATAAAAAGAGCGGGCGATGAAATAAAAACTTTTCTTTCATAACATAAAATTATACTTAGAGATAAAATTAAATAAGAAATAAATCAACAATGAACAAAGCAACTAACAAATTAATCTGGGGCTATTTTGATATTAATGAAAATAATCAACAGAAACAACATTACCAACCACAATTATCAAATAAACAACACAATATCACATAATTTTAGGGGCTTTTTATTTTTATTGCTTAGTCATTCTAAATGATAAGTAAATTTAGTTCAAGTTAACATTTCAATATTTACAGTTGCAATATAATAAAGAAATGATGTTTAATGTTAATCTTTTTATTTAGTTATTTATTTTTTACCTACATTTGTTATAAAAAAAATTTGATTATTCAAACTATTCAACTATTCAAATTTTTTTCGTTTGACTTCCCGAACTTCATGCAAAGCAAATTGAGACGAAATATTGTCTAACCAAATAAAAATGCTGTTACTAATTTTATATGGGTAATTAATGTAAAAAAATTTTTATCAAAGTCTTGATTGAGATAATAAATAGTCATAATTTATAAACATTAAATATATGGCGCAATAAGAATTTATAGCAGCGAACCAGCATAAAATATTTGAGGTTTTTAATATCTTTTTAAATGTTAAAAATAGAAGAAAAAAAACTAAACAAATAATCAATAAAATTTTGAGAAAAAAAAAAAAAAAATTCCAGAGTTTCATTTGTTAAAAGTCTACCGTGACGTCAAATACTAAAACTTTTATGAATTAAACCCGCTTCAAAGGAATCTTTGAAGCGGGTTTAATTCATAAAAGGGTTTAATTCATAATTTAAACACTCAGAGTTATTGAAAAAATGGAAAAGAGCTTTGGCTAAAACAACATTAGTTTTTCTCGGTATGCATTCAATATTTATTTTTAATCAAAAAAACTTGGTTCAAACCTTCTTTTTTTTTACATTATCTTTAATATGAACACAACGTGTTAGAAGTTTGGAATCCCTTTAATAGATTTTTATAATTTTTAGACACGATTAAGATATTTAAGTTATTTATTCAATGATTTTTTACAATTTTTATGGGTGGTTAGATAGAAAGCAGATATTTCTATCAGTATTTGACATAATCTACTGGATTTAGTTTTGAGACTTTTTTTTTGAAGCTGCTATACATTTTTCTTCAAAATCTTTTTTATCTGAAGACTTTTTTTGCTTTTCTGCAAGATTCCTTTTAAAATTGACCATTAACTTTTAATAACTTGTTGCTTAGGATAATATGCTTTCTTAGTTGCAAATTCAATCTTACAATATGCAGGGTTTGCTTTCTTAGTTACAAAATCAATGCCATTTTGTTTATAACATTCTAGAGACTTCTTGAATTAAAGGATTAAAGCCAAATCAGACCAAAATATTGTGGGGATGTCATGCTTTTTAATTAATGGCAAAAGGCATTTCTTTAAGCATTCTTTTATATACAAATCCGTAGTCAAAATTTTATGAGTAATATATGGTGTTTTTTTTAAACCAGAGAAGCATATAGCTTGCTATATATGGAACTTGGGAGCGAATTTCTTAGTTTTAATATACTTGAATTTTTTGATGTTTACCTTACCTATCTAAAATTTATAATAATATAAATAAAAAGTTGCAAAAAAGGCTTTTCACAATTGCCAGGTCATCAGTGTTATTGAAATTTAAAAAAGTTTGTTATTAAAACAATTAGTTTAATTGAAATATTAAATCAAGATAAAAAACAAAAAAAAAAATGTTTGCATTTTCTTGTTGAAAACTCTAGTGTATCAAACAAAACAATCTCTAAAGAGTTCCAGATTGCTTTGAGAACAGTGCAGAGTGTTGTGAAATGGTTTAAGAAAACTGGTACTATTGAAAAGTAATCATGAAGTGGAATAAATGAAGATTTTGTTCAACAAGATGCCAGAAATCTAAAGATTTAAGTTTCAGAGATTAAATTTAAAACAAGAGCTTCCACTATACAGAGAGTGAAAAGAAATTGTGGCTTATTATAATACAAGAAAAAACTTTTTTTTCGTAAAAAAAAAAAAGCAAGAAAATGTTGCAATTTATTGTTCAAATGTTGTTCTATAAAAAATTATGTGCTAAAAAAACTTATCTGATTATTGATGAGGAAACTTATTGTGTTGCATATATTCAGATCTCTTCCAGGACACCATTATTATTCAGCAAATAATCACAAGAAACTGAACTCTAAATATAAATACATTTAAATGCGCTTGTTTTCTTTATAGGGAAACAGTTAACACTGAAGTATAGATCAAAGCTTAAAGAACTTTGTCAATCTTTTGTCAAATCTTTTGTCATTTATAAGATCTCATACTGGTCATTTTGTTAACTAGTCTGTTAACCGGACCTTATATATAATGAGAGAATTTCTAAATTGTAGAAGACTTTTTTTTTTCAGAACTCAAACTTTTAGTAAGTCACTAAATTATTCTTCTGATTGAAAAAAAAAGGCCATAAAATTCATATCCTGATTTACAAACTGAGTATATATTAATTAAAATATATTATTTAAAAAAAAAACCTTCATAAAAATAATTTTAAAAATATTTCAAATTACCTTTTATGTAACTACACAAACTTTAACCTTGCTTGTAAATTGTAGGAGATTTTTCAAAGTATTTTGCATGAGTCAAGAAAAGAACAAAAGTTGAAACTAAATATAATATAACCTGTCATTTTGGCCTGATTTAGCTTCATTTCACAACTTTGGGACAACTTTAAGCTAATTTAAGGAACAGTAAGTATATTTCAAAAATTTAAACATCAAGTAAATTTAAAAAATTTACTTGTCTGGATTACATTCTCAAGAAAAAGAAAATCTCTCCACATTACATAGTTCCATTGAGCCAAGCAGTCAATGAAAATGTGTATATTTCAAAATGATAAGCGAAATTTATTGAAAAGTATAGATTTTTAGTTATCACTCGTTAATATAAGCAAAGGTTTTATAGAACTCTTGAATTAACTATAATCCTAAACTAATCGAATCTAACAATCTAATTGTTTTGTCCTAAAAAAACTTCATCAAAGTAATATTTAATCAGAAAAAATTTCAACTATTATAATTTTAAACAATGCTTTTAAATATAGTCTAATTGCATATATTTTTAGGTGGCCAATGGGAGGTGGAAAAAATTTTGAATGCGCATTCATGTGTAAGTCTGTTTCATCAAATTTTTACATATTATATGATATTGATTTTATTATTCATACATACATACATACATACATACATACATACATACATACATACATACATACATACATACACACATACATACATATATGTATATATATATATATATATATATATATATATATATATATATATATATATATATATATATATATATATATATATATATATATATATATGTATATGTATATGTATATGTATATATATATATATATATATATATATATATATATATATATATATATATATATATATATATACATGTTTTAATAATTCGTCCTTATTTTTTTTATTTAACTTAAAATAAAAACAGCAAGAATATTATTTATATTAATTTTCTAGTCATCATTTAGCATTTTATTTATAATCTCAACAAAATAATTAAAATAAAACAAGTGCAAAAAAGTAAAAAATATAAAACGTTTTATATAAATATTAAACAAAATAGTTAAAGTAAAAATGGATAGACAAATGTTTTATTTGAATTCTAAATTGTTGGTAAAAAGTTAAATCTATCTGTATTAAATAGTATTGATAATCCTAATATAAGATATTATAAACTTCTATTAATAGGATTTTACTCAAATTTTACTAAATCTAAAATGAAATCATTAAAAAATATTGTAAAGATGTTATAATTAATTTAATTTTCACAACCAAAAAATTACAAAATAGCTTTTATATAAAAGATTCACTTCCTAAGCTGCTCAAATCAAGCTTCTTGTGCTGGCTGTAATGCCAGTTATATTAAAGAAATCTCCAGACACTTAATAACGAGGATTTATGAGCACCTTATAGGTGAAAAGCAATCTAATGTTTACAAGCATTTAATTTCATCCCTTAATTATAAAAATATAAGTAACTATAATTGTTTTAAAATTTTGGATACTACTCCTAACAAAAACGTGTCTATTACTTGCTTAAACCAAAACTTATATTCACTGAATGCACTCAAGTCTTTGACTATTCACAGATTATCTTTTTCTGAATATTTCCGGAATTCCCGATATTTTTTTCAACTTTTAGTTTTTCCAGATATCCAAAACATTTGGATAAGGAAAAACAAATTCCGTATTTTCTTCTGGATATTTTATCCAAACAATTTTTTAAAATATGAGTAGGATGATCTTGACTATTTTGTCACTAACTTTAGTTTTTTAAATTCTAATTTTAGTGCTGTTTTCAGACAAAAAAAAATCATTGTCTTTTTTTGCTCCCTTGATGTACAAATTGTTTCTATTTTAGTTTGATGTTTTTACTGATGTTTTTTGGTTAAAGTTGTATAAGATAATTATATAATTTATATTTATATGAAAAATATTTAGACAATAAAATGCAATCATTATAATTATATTTACATAGATTGGGTGTAATGCAGTTTCTTGGTTACCAGCTGTTCAATATCAAAAAACAGATCCGGTATAAAATTTTAATTCATATTTTTATGTCAGTTATCAAATGTGTTTGTGTGTGTTTGTATGTGTGTGTGTGTGTGTGTGTGTGTGTGTGTGTGTGTGTGTGTGTGTGTGTGTGTGTGTCATTTCCATTACAGTTTAATAATTTTGAGCGTTTGTAACAGTTTATATTTTTGTAGTTGAATTAATGAAATTGATGATATTTTTTGGTTCATATGTATACTATAAATATTTCTGTGTATATGTGCAGTTAATGAATAAAAAATTAATGTTAAAAGAACAACCAGATTTTAATAAGATTTTATTATTTTTTACTATAAATGTTTATTATATAAATTTTTTTTTTTTTTTTTTTGTTTTTAATTTTTTTCCTACATGATAAGTTTGTTTGCTCTTAAGTATTTATATAGCTTGTAAAGTTTTATAATTTTTAACCAATTTAGCTTACCCATTACCAAAATTATTTCTCTCATTAAAAATGGAACATTAGTTTTTTTGTATTTCAAAAACCTCACAAATCTTTAATAATAATTTACTTGGTTTTACTTTTTTTTTTTTTTTTCTTTTTTTTTTTGTTATTCAACTCCTCGAGGCCGAGAAGGCCACTACAGACGAGGAGGCTACTTAATAGTGGTTATAACCCTCTCTCAACTCTATAACTCCGAAACACAAACCTTGACAAACAAGGCCACTGCGCAGAGAAACAAGTTGAGCGCAGTACTACCAGGAACGTGGTGGGGATCAAACTCGGAACCTCTCGCTTATGAAGCAAGTGATTTACCACTACACCACTACCACATAAAAAGTTGCTCCCAAATGATGTACAAATTGTTTCTATTTTAGTTTGATGTTTTTACTGATGTTTCATTTGGTTAAAATTGTATAAGATAATTATATAATTTATATTTATATGAAAAATATTTAGACAATGAAATGCAATCATTATAACTTTACCTCAGTTCTTCTAAGCAAACTGTTGATGACTACTACAGGCTGATTATATTTTATTTTTATTTTTTCTTCTATTTACACTTTTTAATTTTTCTGATTTGAGTTCTAATTTGTAACTTTTTTGCTTATGTATCTTTTAAAGAAGTTGCATTCATATATATATATACACCTTGTACAGAAAGTTTAAACGCACTTGTTTTTTTAACTTATGTAATACTTTTAAGAAATGATAACCCGATAAATTAATGAGATATGCTCAGTATTTTTATATTTATTTATACTATGGCTATAAGTTATTAGTTTAGATAGAAAAAAAATTTTATGGATATTATAACGGAGGTGGAGAGTGATGAGAAAATTAATGGAGCAATTAACTCCTTTTAATTTTTTGAAATAAAATTTAAACGCACTTTGATAAGAAAACGCGTAAAACTCGTTTATTGAGAGATTTTTTATTGAAGTCTTTTACATTTTTATCACTCAACAGCCTGTTAACGTTAGTATATTACATTTGGATTCTTATTCTTATTTTATTTTGAATAAAAACCACAAATACGATTTGATTTAAAATATATCAATTTTCAACTGATACAGCTTTGTCAAAATATCATATTTTAATGGGTAAAAAAGCCGTTTCGTCGAAAACAAAATGGCAAGTCATAGGAATGCATAAAATGAAAATAAGCAATAGAGAAATTGGCAGACGCCTAAATATTTTTGAATGCAGCGTTCGTACAACATCAAAAAATTATTTATCAACTGGTAGTGTCAATGATAATCCTCGTACTGGGCGTCCGAAAAAACTGACAGCACGCAAAGAAAACATGCTTTACATGCTAAGCAGACGTAACCCAAAAGTGGGAGTATCAACTTTAAGTGCAGAAATCAATAGTTCGCTGGTAGACAAAACAGTTAGTCAAATGACTATAAGTAAGTTATTATGCAAGAAAGAATTAAATTCGTTTCATTGCGTAAGAAAGCCTTTGTTGACGTTAACCGATCGCCAAAGACAAAAAAAATGGTGCAAAGAGAGTTTAAATTATTCAGTAGAACAATGGAAAATGATTATCTTTAGCGATGAACCAAATTTCGAAATTATTAACAGTAAAAACAAGAGATTTGTTTATCGCAAAAATACAGAAAAATATTTGAAGCAACACCTACTAAGCCGTATTCAAAAAGGCGGTGGTTCCGTCGGCATATGGGGATGTATATCAGGCTCAGGCGTTGGCTGTCATAAAATATACGAAGGAAGATTAAACCAGTATGAGTATCGTGACATTTTGGAAAACGCGCTTATCCCTAGTCGCGATTTGTTCCAGGCTGATCAAAACTGGTTATTTCAACAAGACAATGCTCCATGCCATACAGCGCATTCAATCACTGATTATTTCCTTAAAAGTAATATTCAACTTATGCCTTGGCCAGCACGATCACCAGACTTAAACCCGATTGAAAATTTATGGAGCTGGATGGATTATCAACTAACAAAAAAGCAAATATCTAGTCATGAAATGCTCAAACAAGAACTGACCAAACTGTGGCTTGAAATACCAATCAAGATGATTGAAAACTTAATCGAATCAATGCCAAGGCGAATACAAGCATGTATTAAAAACAACGGGGGTCATATTCCGTATTAATATATTTCGATTAAAAGAAGTTGTAGGTGCGTTTAAACTTTATTGCACTTTCTTCTAAGTAATCTTTTGATTTCTTGAGTTTGTTGTTTAATTTCAGAAGAGATTTTATCTTTTTCTTATTCAAAGTTGTGTTTTTTTCTTAATTGATAATTGGCTAAGAATATTAAAAAAAAAAAACCTGGCCCTGCCTCGTGTTTTCTTTTTGTATCACTTCAAACATACCTAAACTTTTTAAAAACAAGTGCGTTTAAACTTTCTGTACAAGGTGTGTATATATATATATATATATATATATATATATATATATATATATATATATATATATATATATATATATATATATATATATATATATATATATATATATGTATGTATATATATATATATATATATATATATATATATATATATATATATATATATATATATATATATATATATATATATATATATATATATATATATATATATATATATATATATATATATATATATAGTATTGATAATCGTAATATAAGATATTATCAACTTCCATTTATAGAATTTTACTCAAATCTAAAAGAAATAAAATCATTAAAAAATATTGTAAAGATATCAAAACTGATTTAATTTTCACAACTAAAAAATTACAAAATAGCTTTTTTATATAAGATCCACTTCCTAAGCTGCTCAAATCCAATTCCTTGTGCTGGCTTTAATGCCAGTTATATTAATATATATATATATATATATATATATATGTATATATATATATATATATATGTATATATATATATATATATATATATATATATATATATATATATATATATATATATATATATATATTTATATATATATATATATATATATATATTTTATATATATATATATATATATATATATATATATATATATATATATATATTGTTGTTTATCTTATAACTTTATCTTATTTATCAAACAGCTCACAAACACTTCTGGGTTTACGTATAAGAAAAAAATAGTTTCTGGTGGCTGTGATAATCTCATAAAGATTTGGAGCTACAGGTATTTTGTAAAATGCACTTTTAAAATAGATATTAAATATTTATTTTATTAAACTATTGACTTAACATAAATAAAAACAGCAATTTTTTTTTTTTAAAGTGTGTCAACCTGAATCTTAAAAATAAATTTGTATAAAAGTGTCAATTAAAAATTACAATTTTTGTATAAAGTAAATATTAATTTTGAAACTTTTTGATAATTTTGCTACTTTTGCAACCCGGGTAGGTGTACGACCCAGGTAGGTGTACTTTTGAAGAATTTCTACTATAATACTAGGGATCTGTCAAATTTCGCTAAGTTTTGAGAAAAAATTTGCATAGTAAACAATCTTAGTGAACTTTGTAGAAAAGCATTTTATCATACAAATTTAAGAAAGATTTGAATAAAAATATATGTCTTTGTTAATAAATCTAATAAAAATAAAATGTAACAAAAAATGTGTAAGTTAAAATATATCATTGGCATGGAAACAAAAGTTGTTAAAGTTGTATACAAATCTAATGATAAAAATGACTCACTAAAAATGGTAATGAAAAGCAGTATTATATAATGATAAGTTCTAATTGGTTTCTGGATAAAAATTGTATAAAATTTATGAGTAATAATTTCTATTATAATAGAGGTTGCTTTAATTTATTCAATATAGTGAATCTGATAGTAAATGGATTGAGGAAGACCAACTAAGTGCACACAGTGATTGGGTTCGGGATGTAGCTTTTGCACCAAACTGTGGCTTAGATAGTCTCATACTTGCTAGTTGTTCTTTGGTATTTTTTTTTACTTTTTGGCTGTTTGACTTTTGAAATATAATTTTTATGTTCTTTCTTTTTGATTAGTTTTTATAATTCGTTTTAAGGATGGACGTGTGATCATTTGGAGAAAAAATGAGAAAGAAGGCAGTCAATGGACACACCAGGTTTTGAATAAGTTTAATGAAGCTATATGGCATGTAAGTTGGTCATTAGCAGGCAATATACTAGCGGTGTCTGGAGCAGATAACAAGGTTAAAATAATTTGAATTTATCTAGTTAATAATTTAACTTTAGTGTTTTCTAATACAAAAGTACAACATAATAATTATAAGTGTTCTTTGGTGTAACATTGGTGTTAATGATTTTTCTTATTTTTAATTTAAAATAAAAGATCAAAAATATTCTAAAACACATAGAATAAAATATTTTTTTTAATTATTGCCAATTTATGTTAAATATACTCTTGCTGAAAGTGTGGAGTTTTCTTCCACACCGGTGTGTAGCTATCACTCTTAGACACAAGTGTAGAGTTATTTTGCACACTTTTGTGGAAATGTGACACTGTGTAGCTATCACTCCTAGACACAAGATAGTGTGATGTGACACAGATAGTGTGTACTTTTTTTTAATTCTTTTTTTAATTTTTTTAAATGAATAATCTTAATGAAAAACTATGATTTATTATGCTGTATTGCAGCTGCTATGTAAGCTGTAGATTGCGAGCATAGTAGTTTTAAAAAATGATATGGAATCTGTTTCAAAGTATTCAATGGAAACACTGTTAGTCAACTCAAAAATTATGTCGTACACAAATATATTTTTTATATGAAAAAATAAGGATTTTGTCTGGTTTTTTTGCATGCTAGCTCATTATTTAGAGTTACAGTGTTTTCCTGTACCTCATTGTTTGTGAATACAGTTTGTAATCTTGTTAGTAAGCAAAGAATGCAAATTGTAATGTTTAACTATAAAAAATTTTTGCGTTGTCTAGTCTTTTATTCTAGAAATTCTTTTTAAAAGTTTCAAGGAGTTTAAGATGTTTAGTACAAATGTTTGAATTGTCTAATGAAGGGTCAAAGAGTTTTCTAGTAACCTTAACAAATAACGCTTTTTGAAATCCTTTTTTTGTTTCATACTATCATTTTAGGTTTGTCTGTTTAAATATAAATTGTTTAAAGAAATCTAGCATTTTTGAAAAAAACGAGGTAAACAAAAAAAAAAAGACCTTGACTTCTTTCTTTCAATTGAGACAACTAGATTCAATACACTTGATAATTTCGGATACAGTCCTTTAACTATTTTAATATTTTTGTGTTTTTTCAGCAGTGTAGTAGTATAAGTTAACCATTTTGAAAAACTGGAAAATGTGCAAATGGCAGTTAATATGGACTGCTTCGCAAATTCTGTGTTTTGCTAACATAAATTTGTTTGTAAAAGATTTGCTTTACGTTTTGATTATGTTTCATTTGTTTAATGTGTTTTTTTTAACTTATACTGATAAAAAATAAAACTTGTAAAACTATTGTTATAGATTCACTGTTACTATCGCTACTATTTAAAAAATACGATTTGAGAACGGTTTACTACAGCCCTTTTTCAAAATGCCTAAAGATCAAAAAAATCAAAGTTTTTATAAAATAAGCTGATATAGATGATAACAAACGTTATTAAATAATTATTTTTTTTAATTATGAAAAAATTCATAAAGATTACTAATTTCAAAAAAAGTTTTAAAAAATAATATCTGCTTTTATTTTTTTAAATTTTTTTCAAAATAACTTACAAATTGATTTAAGAAAAATCATTCGACTACACTATGTTTTGAAATTTATAATAATTATAGTTTTACAATAACAATTATAGTTATTGTTATATTATCTTATAACAATAGTTATTATATTATAACAGTAATTATAATTATTATAATAAAACAATAATTAACTATTAAGAATTTCAAAATATAGCATTACTAATATCACTGTTGTAAGAATAGTAGGAGTGGGAGGGGGTGTCCAAGGGGGCAATCACCACCTTAGAATATTTAGAAGATGAAATAAGTAATAATACAAAAAGAAAAAAACAAGTAACAAGGAAATTTCTATGCGCACAAGATGTTTATAATATAAAATAAATTGATGTATATAATATTAAATAAAAATTTGAAAATTGAAGAATTGTTAAATCACTATTTTCACACCAAATAGTAATTTCAGATTTTTCCCGATATTCTTGTAAAAACAATTATGTAGAAATTAGCTCTTCTTTGCACCGCCCAGGAATTTCTTTATGCTAAACAATTAAAACTACACTTTCCTTCGTTTTTCCAATAAGCATAAATGTTTCATTGTATATTGTTAATCGCTAACAAAACATCGCTTCTTTAAGATTTTCCATTCTTGGTAGCATGATTACTTTTCCATGTCTGTCGCCATTTTTAATTCTTGTGCGCAAACAGTTCAATCAGCATCAAGTCTATATTTGTTTCTGGCTTGTCTGACCCTTTTCATGTGAATATTCCATGTCATGCAATCTGTACAGTCTAGAGTTAAAGTTAATTTAGAATGGTTCTTTTCTCCACAATGTGTAAAGAACTGAAAGCATGTGTAACTTTTTTCCTTTGTTTGATAAAAAGTCCGCAAAACATCAAGAGCTAGTTGTAAAATAATTGCTCAAAATGTTGTGTGGTCTTTTTTTTTTTTATATAAGTTTATATAAAGACCGCAAATTTTGAAATAAAATAAATATTATTTTTAACTAAAGTAAAAGTATTGATTTTCATAGAGAAAAAATTTACGTCGTATTTTTTAAAAACGTATATTTATTACAGTTTGGGTTCGTAGTCAAGTTTTTGAAATAATTCATTGGGAAAAATTGAAGTAAATTTACTTGTTATTGTTTCATCTATAAAAAAGCCTGTCTACGTTTTTTCCGACAAAGAATACAACAAATACTTACTTTTTTAAATTAATCTTTTTTTCCAATCCATGATATAATTAAGATAATAAAGTTTATGTATAATATTGTATTATAATTACAAATCTCTTGTAAAATTATAAAATTTAAAATATATATCAAAAAGTGTTTTTCTCAAAATACGTATAAAGCAACTTAAGGCGTTTTGAAAAACGGCTGTAGTTGAGTTGTTGTAAGTAATAAAATCAGCACGTTAGTTTAGCATTTTATAAAATAGCTGTTTACTTCATTATAGTTTATAACTACTGTTTAAAAAAATACCACTTGACAATGCTTTAGTTACAGATGCCGAATTAAACGTAAAATGTCGTCTTACGTAATCGTAGTGACAACAAAAACCTCAAAATTATTTCATATTTTGCTCTAAAAATAGCTCAGGAATGTGTTAGGATATTTGATGTCGGATTTTGTTTTATTTTTTTTTTTAAAAAAGTAGTTTAACACCACATTTAACTACTTTTAAATATGGTAAACATTTCAATTGATGTGCAATTTTATGAAAAGGCTTTTTTATTATTATTTTGGTTTGTTTTAGGTATCGTTGTGGAAAGAAACTTTAGATGGAACATGGGCATGTGTAAGCAATGTAGAAAAAGGAATCGGTCTGCCGCCTTAATAAATATGTACTTTTTTTTAACGTCACGGGTTTGAATTACCATGAAATAGTCAATAAAATTATTTAAAAATATAGAGTTTTCAAAAATGGTTCCTCCACCTCCCTTTCGCATCATCTTATTTCAAATTAAAATTCAAATTAGGTAGAAAATGTTTATCATACTATATTTATTTTGTTAGTATTTTTTTTTTCAATGAAAACTTTATTTAATATATTATAATAGTTAAACTTTTTGTAATCATAATCTATTGTAATCTATTGATTTCTTTTTTTTTTTATTTCCAATACGAATTGTTGGTTTATAAACTTTTGTTAACATCACTTTATTTTTCTTCTTCAAATTACGTGTTTAAGACTACGGAGTACAAATTTAGGATGAATTGTATTTTTTTCTTATCAAATTTTTAATTAACGTTTATAGTGTTTTAAAATATAAAAACTAAAGTTTAGATACAAAAATTTGTTCAAGTAAAAAATGAATAGTTTAATAAAAGTTTAATAAATAAGTAACATTTGTAAATTAAAAATCTGGACAAATTTAGAAATTGCATAACTTTTTAACGGAATGATCAATTTTATTAATTTAAAAAGTTCAATAACAAAAAATATCTAAATAATAAAATATTAAAAAATTATAGGTTTTTCATGCCATGACGACGAACGGTGTATACTCTTGTAAATGTTGCAGCATATAGCCGATGTACACGTTCTATGTTAATTTTCTTAATTAAAAACTCGATCCGCTTTTTAAGTTTATCTATATTTTCAGCTCGCCAGTTTTTATAATACATTAATCTCGTAAGTTCAGACTAAAAATCTTCAATTGGACGTAATTCTGGCACATTAACAGGGTTATGCTCTTTCGGTACAAATTCAATATTTTTAACTTTTAGATAACCTTGCACCATACGCGAATAATGTGACGAAGCTAGACCAGGTTAAAATACAATATTGTCATTTTTATGATGTTTTTCAATGAATTTCTCTAAGGGGGCATCCATAAAGTACGTACGCAGTAAAATCACTGATATCGGACCCCCTCCCCCCTTGTACAAACCTGTACGCTTTTGAAGACTTCCCCCCGTACGTACGCATTATTTATTTTTTCAAAATTAACTCGATTTTTTTTTCTCATTGTTTATAAAGAATTGAAAAAAAAATTGTAACAGAAGTCAAAAAAAAAAAAACAATTCTAATTTGTTACACACTTGAAATTCAAAGTGTTTTTTTTTTAAAAAAAATCATGATCAGGATAGTCAAACCGCGTACGTACTACTCACTGTCTTTAACACCCCCACCCCCCTTGTACGCTTTTGGGAAAAAAAACTCCCCCATACCTGCGTAAGTACTTTATGGATGGCCCCTAATCTAAATAGACATTTTAAAATAAACCCACCTTCATTGACTGCTTGGGCAGACGGAGCAATCTACTGCTGAGAGATTCCTTTCGTCGAGAATGCAATTCAAACAAGTAATTTTGGCTCTTTTTTTTTAACTTTACATCATTTGATGCTGTATTTATGTCAGAAGAATAGAACCCAGCATTTCCGGAAATATTAGTGTTGCTCAAATAAAAATACGATTCATCGTCAATAATAACTTCTTTTTTCCTAAAAATCAAAACCAATCTACGACACTTTTAACGAACAGCTGCTTTTTGAGTCGGTGTTCTTTTAGGTGTATCAGGTTTTTTAAGATAACAAATACTAGTTTTTTTGTTAATATTTTTGCATATCTACGGTTGTGACACATGGAATCGTTTTGCAAGACCTCGCTGTGAAATATCATCCTTTTGATCAATTGATTTTTTAAGATGCTTTATCTCTTGCAGACATCTTTTTTGCTTTGAGACCGCTTCCAACTTTTCTTTCTGGTCTTATATTATTCTCCTTTCTTTGAAGTATATTATAAATAGTAGATTTTGGTATGTTCTCCATTCGAAAATGATTTACCATAAAGCTTTTAATCTTATCTGAATGCAAATCCAAAAATGTGTACATTTTTGGATTTGCATCCAGATAAGAATAAAAGTTTTTTAAGGAAGTCTTCGCTACCAGTCTTTTTTTTTCATTTTTAATTATTATTAGATATTTTTTTTTTAATATACATTTAAAGAATTAAATTTGTAACAAAATAGAAGTGATTGCAAGTATAATAAATTATTCCTTCATATTTTAATTTTTACTCAAACTTTATCCAGATTTTTAGTTATCACATGTTATATCGATAAAAATGAGAGCTTTTATTAAAAATACTTACAATGTTAACAAAATGTCTACATCTACTGGTGTAAACTTGTGATTAATATTTTTGGTACAATAGATTAGGTAGAAAACTCATCCTTTTAAAGGTTTATTAAGTGGAAAATGCATTTTGGAACAAAACCTGATTTAGTGCAGTCAATTGGTGCAAACTTTTAATTTAGGGAAAATTTTTTAACGAAATATTTTCTAAATATTTCTATAACAATTATAGTAATAATTTGAAAATATTTAATATTATAAAAATATAAATAAAATATTTTAAATTTTTTTTTTTTTAGTTTTTTTCAATATATTTCAATAATATAGTTTACATTTTTATCTTTATAACTTGTTATTGGTGATGACTGATTTTTCCTAAAATTTGTTGGATTTATAAAACTTTTAATTGCAGAAATTGATTGTCTTTACTTGAAGAAATTTACTATATTTATATGTATATATATATATATATATATATATATATATATATATATATATATATATATATATATATATAAATATATATATATATATATATATATATATATATATATATATATAGTAAATAGTCGTTAAGCTATACAGAACTGATTAAATTATTTGTTCGACAAAAGGGTTCGTAGAATAAGTTATCATTTCGTGGCGTATACTTATTTTTTGTTTTGAAGGTAATAAAATCTTTAAAAATGTGTAATGATTGATTTTACATTGAAACATAAAACATAATATTTTATAATTCGTTTCATAAATATTTCGTACTTAAGCGTATTGCGTATTTCTGACGATGATAAAGAGTACGCAACTTACTTTTGCTTGCACATTCCCCAAACAATACTTGCATTGTTAATATAACTATGTATAAATGAATTGTTAATATAACTATGTATAAATGAGTAAGAGTTGGATTAAAATGCTTTTGTTCAAATAATTTCTTAATTTATATAGGATTTTTATATTTTAGTGTAAATGTAATTCATATGCGATTTCTGTATAGAACACGGCTGTTTCAAACCGAGCTTAACGGCTTCTTGTTAATTTTTGAAAATATTGACTAAAGGGGTGTTACTAAAACTTTTATAACTTTTGAAATATAAGAGGTAATTTTGTTTTGTAAAAACAATTAAGACATCAATAAAATGTTTTACCTTATGACATTTAATGCATTAGTAGAAAAACTTCTTTTAGTTTAGAATAAATATGACATATATTGAATTTGGCTAAATTTTTGTAATTTGATGTTACTTTTTATCAAAAAAAAAAATAGAAAAATATATTCCTAATAGTTATTATCAAATACACTTATTGTTTGACAATAATGAAAACAAAAAAACCTTACTTAACTATTTAAGGTTAACTAAAACAGCCTTAATCGAATTGTGAAAGCAAACCACATTTTTCGCAAAATTATGAAAAACGTCGTTATAAGGGGGGATTAGTTGTTAAATGAGTACTTTTTTTAATATAGAAGTTCTTGATTTAGAAAATTATTTTGGAACGCTGATAAAATCATTACATTACAAAATAAAGTTCTAATAATATGGTGTTAGGTAGTTAATAAATAAAAACTCATCAATTCTAATAAAATAATTCATGACCAAAATTGAGTTAAAGGTTTTGAATTAACCTAGCTTTTGGTAGTAGAATTATTTTATGGTACTTGTATCAATAATCTCTTCTCACAAAAAATAAAGTGTTTAAATATACACAAATAGCTGATTTAAATCTTTTGATAATTCGTTTTTATTTTCATTAAAAACTGTTTTATAATTAGTTGGTCCATTGATATGTTCTTCAAGCAGTAAACTATCTTTGAACACCCAGATGATACTAGACTCATACATAATTCATTTAAAAACAAAAGAACATTTGGTCAACTTGGCAATTGTGATAATAAAGTTTACAACTTCTTAATTTATCAAGCTAAATTTTTACACCAACTTGATAAATGAGACTTATATTCCATTCTTTAACCAGAGAGGAGGTATGTAGAGCAGAGGTCCTGCGAAGGTAGAACTAACTTTTGATGATAAAAATTGAACGGAGATCTAATATATATAAAAAATGTTACATATTACATAACAAAGGATAAAACGTTTTTTGAATTAACTACATAAACATACAAAATCATATCCAACAAACATACCAGTTGCTCTGATCACAAATTAAAATAGTTAGCTATACATTTGATGCTAGACTTTTATTCCATTCTTTAACCTGAGCAAAGGCATTGCATAGATATAATAAACTTTTGAAAATAGGAACAGAATGGGCATCTACCTAATATATAAAATCATTGTAATAAAAAATTATTATTATTTTGAACAAACATTACAGGCATTAAAACAGAATAGAATTCTCTTATTTGTAAATTAAGGATCTTATATAATTTATCTTAGATGTAAAAAGTTTAATTTTTTTTTTAACTTTTCAAACATTTAAACTGAATTTGATGACCACAAACAAGACAAAGACCTTGTCTATAAAATGAATTTTCGCCACGCTCTGAACACACAACACACTTTCTCACCTTAGAGGCTTGAAGCTTCCTATCAGCTTTGCTGTGCAATTCAAAGCGTTTTAAAACAAGATGCAGCTTTTGCTCCTGATTTCTAACTGAATGCAACTGCCTTAATTCCTTATTTACGCTATTATGCAAACACTCTCCCTCCTCTTCACTCAGCAACCCAATAGTTTTATGCAATTTTACAAATAGTGGCACATTGAAAATGAGTTCATGCATTTTTCGCGTGATACTTTCTTTTGGAAAGCAAGCATGAAACTCAATAGCAAATAAATTTATATATTGATGAAGCTCAGAAATTTCGGCAT